TTTCTTTCTTTCTTTCTTTCTTTCTTTCTTTTTCTTCTTTTTTCTTTTTTTTTTTTTTTCTTTTTTCTTTCTTTCTTTCTTTTTTCCTTCCTTCCTTTCTTTCTTTCTTTTTTTTTTTAACAGTTGTGGGGAGGGATTCAGAAGCTGAGGAAGCGCTTTCATTATGGTCCTTGCTATGCAATATCCCATTCACCGGTCATCCTTTCACTCTGTTTTCATAAATCAGGTGACCACTAAAAAGTTCATTTTTGGAGTCATCACTGAGCTTCATGGAAGCAGAGATTTCTGATGATGCTAGAAGGAACCTTTTGAGGCCAGGAACTGAGGCCAAACCCAGGGTGACCAACCTTCATTCCCCTCCCAGCTGGGCTTCTGAATTTCCAGACTTTTAGCCCCTTGAGGTCTTGTTTTGTTGTTATTGTGGCGGTTTTGCTTGCATTTGTATACCTAGCGCAGTGCCTGGCACTTAAGAAATGCTTGTTGACTGCCTGCTACAGACTTCTTCAAGGTCATACTGGTAGTAAGTGGCAGAATCAGGATTTGAAGCCACATCTTCTGACTAGAGAATCAATACTTTTTCTACTACAACATATTGGTGACTGGGGACACAAGAGTTCCCAAATATGCATTGAGGGCAGAGGTAAGGAGAGTTACATTGATATGTTCGTATTCCCATATTTCTGAGTGATATTCCATTTCCTTTCCTTTACATTAAATTTTGAAAAAAGTCAGGTCATCCCAGGTCTATCCAGGTAGTAGAAGTGAAGTAAGCAGCCTCTGAGTTAGCAGGCAAGATCCCTTTGCAATGGAGAAAGCCCATAGGATGTTTGATGACACCCTACCCTGCCCCTACCCAGGCTGGTAGCTTGAATGCAGCTCCACCTGGTGGGCAAATGATATCATATTCCCTTGCTGGATAATTAATTAAGTGGCAGGCTGCCTCTCAGTAAGTTCAGAAAGGATCCAAGTATGGGCTGCTACTGTTTCTGAAACAACACCAAGTATATACCTAGCTCACATTCCACTTTCACAGTTTTAATAGTGTAAATGCAAGTGATATAGCTAGTGATATAGGAGCAGCTAGGTGGTACGGTGGATAGAGTGCCTGGCCTGAAGTCAGGAAGATTCATCTTCTTGAGTTCAAATCTGACCTCAGACACTTACTAGCTGTGTGACCCTGGGCAAGTCATTTAACCCTGTTTGTCTCAGTTTCCTCATCTGTAAAATGAGCTGGAGAAGCAAATGGCAAATCACTCCAGTGTCTTTGCCAAGAAAATCCTAAATGAGATCTCAAAGAGCTGAACATGACTGAACAATAACAACAAATCAGAACTCTAACTAAAGGCAGAATCAATTATTGATTTACAGACAACAGAGGATGTCTTCCACTCTATAGGATGGTTGGGGTCTGTGGGTGCTGAATGTTGCATACAGTAGCAGATCCGTTCTCTGTGTCAGTTCTGCCGAACAGTTTTCCTTTGTCGCAAAGTAGGGGTGGGGGTGTCGACTGAGGGGAGAGAGATCAAGAAATGACTGTGGTCTGAAACCCAAAAATCAGGTGAAGAAGCATTTATTAAGTACTTGCTGTATATCAGGCATAATGTTAAGTGCCTCTGATTCAAACACAAACAAAAAGAAAGACAATTTCTGACCTCAAAGAGCTTACATTCTTTTCTTCTTTTTTTTTCATTTTTTTTTAATTTTTAGGCAATTGAGGTTAAGTGACTTGCCCAGAGTCACACAGCTAGCAAATGTCAAGTGTTTGGTCTGAGGCTGGATTTGAACTCAGGTCCTCCTGACTTCGGGGCAGGCGCTCTATCCACAACACCACCTAGCTGCCCCCTCTTTTATTTTTTTGCAAGGCAACTGGGGTTAAGTGACTTGCCCAGAGCCATACAGCTAAGTAAGTGTTATGTGTCTGACGAGGGATTTGAGCTCAGGTCCTCCTGAATCCAGGGCCGGTGCTCTATCCACTGTGCCACCTCGCTGCCCCAAAGAGCTTACATTCTAATGGGGCAAGGAAATGCAAAGGGGTGGAAAGAGAGATGCTGAGGGAAGGGGATGATAGTGAAGTCCAGAGAATGAAATACGGTTAGTCTGAGCCCTTCCTCAGATGGAGGTTCTGGGAAGAACTCACCAATGGGGCAAGGGGGCTACAGGGGCAAATGTCATCAATAACAATTTCAAAATTAAAAGGCACAATGCTAGACTAATCCTATTTTGTCTTAAGAAACACTATGTAATTTCCCAAAGGCACTTCAAAGGCATTCTCTTCCTCCTATTCAATTCCAGACCCAGCATATCATCCGTTTGAGGTGTCTGTCCTAAGTTATGACCTATCCTATAGATGAGCACTACATAGTATCTATCAACAACACATCCTACTTTGATTCTTTTGGGGGGGGTTAAGTGACTTGCCCAGGGTCACACAGCTAGTAAGTGTCAAGTGTTTGGTTTGAGGCCAGATTTGAACTCAGGTCCTTCTGACTTGAGGGCTGGTGGTCTATCCACTGCGCCACCTAGCTGCCCCCACGTTCTACTTTGGACAGTAGGCAGTCTTCACTTGGTTTTTCCTGTGTGGATACGTAGCCTACAATTTTTTTTTCAGTAATTATAGTACATGGTGGGTGTGAGTATGAGGAAACAAATCTTTAAGGAGAAATTATACAGGAAAAGAGTGTAGTAATACTTGTGTCTAGAGTATATCTAACTGGAAAAGGATGTGGGACAGTTACACAGCGACTGATCACTGATGAAGAGCCCAGAGTTTTCATTGGTGGAAGAGAAATAGAGGCAGACCTGCAGAACGTTGGGTGGAACCTTGGTGAAAGTATGGAAGGGCATGGGCACAACATACGGAGGATGAGATGAGATTGGGGGGGGTTCCCTCTGCACCTTTGGAGGGAGCACCCTCTTCAGTGGGATCACCAATTTATCAATTAACAAAGTCAACACAAAGTCTTACCCTTGGTTTAAAAAATTCCATTTCCCAAGTATAAGATCAGAGAGGCTAGACAGCAGGTCATAAGAAAAAAAGATCTGCGGCTCTTAGTGGACCACAGGCTCAGTATAATTCAATACTAAGACACGGCAGCTGAGGAAGGTCATGCGATCTTGGACTTCAGAAAGGCACAGTATTCAGGTCAAGGAGGTGACAATCCCAGTGTACCCTTCCCTGGTTACACTTCCTGTGCAATGTTTGTACTGGAGTTCTGGGAGCTATGGCTCAAGGACATTGAAGAGTCTTTGCACTGTACCACTCTTTTCTCCCAGCCTGCAATCAGGGCAATACAAGGAATGGTTGAAGCCACTGGACATGTTTCCTCTGGAGAAGAGAAGCCTTGGGGTAGGACCCCCTAAATGTTCCAACGATTGCTGAGTTCAACTTTGGGAAGGGCTGTGATGTGGAAAAAGTCGGATTTATTCCATTTGTCCATGGGGAAGGATGATGGGGCATTGGGGAGAAGCTGCAAGGAGGCAGATTTGAGTCTTACTGATTAAGCAAAAAAAGGGAGAAAAGAAAAGAAAGAAGTTCCTGATGGTCACAGCTGTCCTCCAGTGGGATGGGTTGTCTGCAAAGGTAGTGAGCTTCCTGTAACTGGAGCTTTTCTAAGAAAGGCTGGGATGATTCCCTGTAGGGTGGATTGTAGTCAAGATCGCACAGGATCGAGTCAGACCAGGAGCCTCTGAGGTCCTCTCCAGCTGTGCAGGAGATATCTCCTGCAGCAGGTGAAGCTGGACCTGGGTTTTGAAAGAAGCAGAGGTGAGAAGGAAGAGCATTCCAGGCCAGAGGGAGAATGGGGAGGCATGGAGAAGGAGGTGGAGGGTCATGGGCGGAGGTGGGGTCTATTTGGCTGGACTGGAGTATTCAGAAAGGGGAGGGAAGGGGAAGAACATTGACAGGTAGGTTTGGGCCAGGTTGTAAAAGATTTTAAATGGCAACCAGAGGTTTCCTATTGTACTCTAGAGGGAAGAGGGAGTCACTGGAGGTTAGATTTGTGTTTTAGGAAAATCTCTTTGGCATTGAGAGGGATGGGAGAAGAGAGATATCTGAGGCAAGGAGACCAATTAGAAGATGAATGGGAAAGGAAGAAACATTTATTAAGCACTTACTATGTGCCAGGCACTGTGCTAAGCACTTTAGAACTCATTTGATCCTCATGACAACCCTGGGAGGTGGGTGCTGTTATTATTCCCATTTTATAGTTGAGGAAACTGAGGCAGAAGGTAAGTGACTTGCCCCAGGTCACACCGCTAATAAGTGTCTGAGGCTGGATTTGAATTCAGGTCTTCCTGACTCCAAGTTCAGCACTAATCCACTGCCCAGTGGAGCTGTCTCTATGAGGGGAAGGGGAAAGGGTACCCAGAGGCTGAGTTAGGGCGGTGATTGTGTGAGTGAAGAGAATGTAGTGGTGCCAGAGATGTGGAGATTTGGCAAAAGAATGGCTAAGTGGATAAGTGAGGAGTAGAGGGTGACACTGAGGTTTTGCACCATGGTGATGGGGAAGATGAAGATGGTGATAACTTAAGAAAAAAGAGGAGAGTTTGGAAGACAGGCCAATTTTGGGGACACATGATGAGGTCTGCGTTGGACATGCTGGGTTTTCGGTGCCTATAGCAGTGACGGTAAAGCTCAAACAGAAAGGGATGCAATAAACCGTAGTACATATGCATCTCTGCCCCAGCTTACTGATTTAGAAAACCACATATTAACATTATCTATGTCCTACTGTATTGTGGTTTCTTTTGTTAATTATTTCCCTGTCACATTTTCTTCTGTTTTAGAAGAGCCTGAGAATTTTGCTGGGTCAGCACCAGGTTCAAAATGTCCACTGGAATTGATGATATGGGGCTGGAGTTCAAGAGAGAGTAGGACCAGAGATGGAGGGGGGGGGTTCTCATATAGAAATGAAAATTAAAGTTGTGTGACCTGATGAGTCAGTCAGTCAGTTGATAAAGCATTTATTAAGCACCAACTACATACCAGGCACTGGGTTAAGCACTGGGCCTACAGAAAAAGGCTAGGACAGTCCCCTTGGAGGAGCCCCCCTCTGACGGAGTCACCAGCAAAGAGAAAGGAGGGCTCTCAGTGCCCAGCCTCAGGCCTGGGGCCCCTTCTGTGTCCAGCGGAGGTCGATTCTTCCCCCGAATCTCGCCTGTCCCCAGCACTAGCCGGAACCCGAGAGGGAGCTGGATATCCTGGGAGCTCCGGAGGCTCCTCCCAGCAGGTGTTTCCGCAGTTGCTGCTGCTGCCCCTCCCCTGGAGGCTTATTATTTACCTCCGGAGTTCAGACCCCACCCCCCACCCCGGGGGCAACTGAGGGGGCGGATCCCGATGGAAGCCCAGCCCCTTCCCCTCCTTAGTTATCTGGGCTCTCTCCTCCCTCTCACCCCCCCAGGAAAAAGCATACAGATCCACACACAGACAGGTATACAGACAGATGAACGTAAGGACAGACACAGCCACACCCACTCCTTGAACCAACCCCGGAGAGCTACTAAGGGACGGGCAGGAAGCAGAGAACGGCCCAGGGCTGACAGCCCGTTTGGCTAGGCTCTCTGTGTGACCTTGGGCAGATGGTTGCCCCTCTCTGGACCTCGGCTCCTCTCCGCTGCACGGGACCTTAGAAGTGACAGGGCGGTTGCCCCGGGCCGGCTGGACAATTTTCGCCCTGTCTCCGCCCACTCCTAGAGGGGAAGTGGGCCAGGGGACATTCCCGGAATGGAGGCGGGGGGTGCACGGCGCAGATGGAGCTGGGGTAGAACGGAAGCGAGGGGAGGCCGAAACTCCCGCCAGGGTGGGCTGGGCGTGGGGGAAGAAGGCAGGATGCAGTAGAACTGACCGAGGTCAGTCACGGGAGTCCCAGGCCAGTGTGAGCGGGGCAGGCCGGGCCGGGGAGCCCGGGAGGTACCCGGGGCTGGAGGCGGACATTGGAGTGCCTGGAGGGGACGGGAACCCGGGGTGCCTCGAGCAGGAGGGACAAGTCTGGGGCCCTCAGGAATTGGGGGGCAGACGGCCTAGAAAGTTTGGTCCTTTAGGGGCGTGGCCGGGGCTCTTGGATCCTCTGGGGTAAGTGGAAAAGGGAGGGCGCGGGTTAGAGAGAACATCGAGTTCCCTTAGTGGATAGGACTTGGGAGGTGGGTAGGACCGAGGTACCTGAAGGTCCCCGTGAGGGGTCGGGGGCTTCATTGTTATTTCTTTAGTAGCTATCACTGGCAGGAGTCCCGGGGCAGTGGCAGAACTCTCTCCCATTTCTGATGAGCTTCACTGGTTGGGGTCAGGTAGCCCAGTATCCCGGTCCCTGTAGTGTCTGTGACTCAGTTTCTCTCTTCAGGTCTCAGAATGGGTAGGCCCTCTTCCAAGCCCCAGGGTCTCCCCCTGCTACTACTGTTGCTGTTCCTGCCAGGGCTGAGAGTGCTGAGTGCAGGTGAGGGAGAAGGGGAGGGGACCTGGAGCCTTGGGTTGGGAGCTTAGGGTGGCAGGCCTGGGGGATCATCAAAGGCACCGTGCTCACAGTGTCCCTCCCCCCTCTCCTGTTTCTCCTGGCCATTCCTGTTTGTTTTCTCTCCCTGTGTTTCTCCCCCATGCTGGTCTGCCTGGCCTTCTGTGATTGCCTGCATCCATCCTTGTGGCCTGGGCTCGGACCTGCAGAGGCACCGTCCTTGTTCTACCAGCTCACTGCAGTGTCAGTTGCCCCTCAGGGGACCCCGAAGTTCTGGGCCTCAGGGTGGCTGGGTCCCCAGCTCTTCCTGACCTATAACTCTGGTGGCAATGCTGAGCCCTGGGGGGCCTGGCGCTGGGAGCCTCAGGAACCCTGGTTTTGGGAGAAGGAGACATGGTACCTGAAAACCCAAGAACGGTTGCTGCAGGAAGCCTTGAGGCTCTCTAAGAAGCAGGGTGAGGTTGGATGGATGCTGGGCTGGAGGGGGCTCCTGGAAAGGGGGGGGCTCCCTCTCTCACATCCTAATCTGGGACCTCCCCCAGGGGCCCACACTTTTCAGGGCCTGGTGGGCTGCCAACTGAAAACCGACAACTCATCTCAACATACTGCTCGATATGCCCTGGATGGGGCGGACCTCTTGACCTTTGACCCTGTGCACAGAGTTTGGGTGGGAGACACTGTGGAGGCCCAGAATGTGAAGAAAAACTGGGCCAATGAGAGCCAGCGGGCAGAGAAGGACGCAGAATTCCTGCTCATCACCTGCCCCGAGAAACTCAAAAGTCACCTGGAGAAAGGCCGGGGCAACTTCCAGTGGAAAGGTACGTGAGCAGCTGGTATGAGGGCTAGGACAAGGCAACAGAGCTGTCAGAAGTCACCCTAAGTCAGTGGACTCCAAGGCGTGTCTCCTACCCAGGCCAGAGAAGAAGGAAGGAGCGGGATTCTGATGCCCAGTGCCAGTATCAGATCAGGGACGGAGTCTAAACCTTCCCTTGTGTAGGCAAAGAAGAGGTGGACCAGGGACAGTGAGGCTCCCCTGGGGGAGGTCCCAGATTCTGGGAGGCTGCATCACAGAGATGTCGTTCAGTCATTTCAGTCGTGTCTGACTCTTAGTGACCCTGTTTAAGGTTTTCTTGCCAAACATACTGGAAGCTCATTTTATAGATGAGGAAACTGAGGCCAACAGGGTTAAGTGACTTGCCCAGGGTCACACAGCTAGAAATTGTCTGAAGCCGGATTTGAGTCTTCCTAACTCCAGGCCTGGGCACTCTATGCACTAGGGCGCCACTTGGCTGCTCTGTAGAGACCTTAATTGCAACGTCTTCGCTGAAGACCCAGAGTGGGGAAGTCACTTGCCCCATGTCACTCAGGTGATCTGGGGGCTGGTCTTGCGGGGTGCCATTGATCTGAGCCCATTTTCCCTTAGAGGCCCCAGAGGTGCGAGTTGGAGGCCACGTCGGGCCAGGGTCCACCTGGTCCACTCTCACTTGCCAGGCCTTCTCCTTCTTCCCACCCGAACTGAAGTTGACCTTCCTTCGGGAGGGGAAGCCAGAGTCAGAGCACGCAAAGGGAGTGGAGCCATGGCCCAACGGGGATGGTGCCTTTCATTCCCGGGGCACTCTGATGGTCCCCTTTGGGGATGAAGCGCTCTACAGCTGCATGGTCCAACACCCTGCACTGGCCAGGGCCATCACTGTGAACTTCGGTAAGAGCAGAGGTCTTCTAGGGCCACAGGATCCCATCACTCAGTATTTCTTAAGCACTTTGTGTGGCCACTGATACAAGCCTTCCCCCACCCCGCAGAGGCGTCTGGCGGACTACCCCTCCCCATAAGAGTCAGCCTGGTGGCAGGCTCCTTGCTTTTCCTGGCGTCCCTGGTAGCCGTGGTGGCTTGGGTGGTGATCTACCGGAAGAGAGAAGGACGCCCAGGTAAGCCGTGGTCCAGAACCCCGCTGGGGCCAGGAGAAACAGAGGAGAGACTGACAGTGGCCGAGAGCGCCCCCGAGCCTCTCCCTCTCATCCCGGTACCTTCTTTTCTCTCTCTTCCCCATCTCAGCTCCATGGATTTTCCGGCAGCGTGCAGCAGACGACGTGGGGTCCCTGCTCTCAGCCCCAGGCTCTGCCCAGGACTCCAGCCCCTAAGAGCTGGGTGTCCTGCCTGTCTGCTGCCGACCCCCCCACCCCCAACCCGGGGTTTATGTACCTTTTCCGCCTTTGCTGGGGGTTGTGTCTGGGTGCTGTGTGATGCCCGGATGGAATATTTTCTTCTCGACCCTGCTTCCCGCCCCCTCCCCACCCCTGGCCCATTCCAGGCAGCCCTCCTGGATTTCACCTCTGACAGGACAGAAATGTTGATATACTCTCCCAAACAAAACAAGATATTGTTGGGTCCAGGTCTCCGCTGTGTCCTTTTCTTCCAGATGCTGTTTGGGGGTGGCAGGGTGGGGATTCACGTTATGGGGGAAGGGATGGAGCGGTCCTTGAACCAGGAAGGAGCGTCCTTCTCCTCCGGGGAAGTCCTTCCCAGCGTCTAACCAGCATCTCATTTGCTGTTGCTGGCGCAGTTGTGGCTGCGGCTGCAGCTGCTGCAGTGATTGCTCAGCGCTGGGGGCGGGGCGGGGACGGGGCTCCAGGGCTCCCCACCGAGTTCTGTCTGTCCCACCTACCGGCCGTGCTCTGAAGCCCCTGCAGCGCCCCGGGCCCCTGGGCTGCTGGGAGCTGTAGTTTCCTAAGCGTTCCGCAGGCCTGGTGAACCTACCGGCGGCTGGGGAATGGGCCCCGCCCCAGCCCGAGCTCGGGAAGGGGAGGGGGGGCACTCCAAGCGGACCCCACCCCTCGGCTCCTGCCATGTGGACGTGGCGCCGTGAACCCAATGAGCACTCTAGAAGGGAAAGGCCCCGCCCCCGCCTAGGGCATGCGCATCGGGATTGGCCGGGGGGCGGGGCTACGAGGAGCCTGCGATCCCGGCGGGGGGGATGAAAGGAGGGAGCTGGGAGTGGGGCTGCCTCTGAGCCAGCGCCTAGGGACGGGACTGGACAGGACGGGACGGGGTGGTGAGGACCAACTGGAGCGCGGGGCCCTGCACCCCACCCTACCTCAATTCAGTCCTCCAGGCAGCCCCTCTCTGCATCCCCAATCCTCTAGCTCCTCTCGGTGCCCCAGCCCTTCTCTGGGCCCCCAACCTGTCCTCCATCCTCTCTCTGGCCCCCAACCCGCCCTCAGTCCCTCTCTGTACCCCCAACCCGCCCTCCATCCTCTCTGGGCCCCAATTTCCAACTCCTCTGTTCTCCGGTCCCCAGCTCTACTCTGTGACACCCCCATCCCCGTCTCTCTCACAGTCCCCCAACACACTCTCCTGTCCTTTCTTTGTAATCCTTGCAACATTGTGCTCCTATCCTGCAACTGCTCTTTGTCCCCCATCCCTCAGCACTTCTGTGCCCCTTGCCCCAGCCCCTCTAATGGGCCCTCAGTCCACTCGATGTGCCCCTATCCTAACTTCTTTGTCTCCTGTGCCATCCCCCATTCCTCCTTTTGACTCTACCTACTATTCTGTGCCCCACCTCATCCTCTAATTTTTGTGATCCCCTCAACTCAACCTCCAACTCCTATCTGTGCCTTTGTCCCCTGATTCTCTCTCTGTGCCACCCCCATGGCCCATACCCTCTCTGTGCCCTCAGACCCATCCCCCAGCTCCCACTATGTGCCCCTGCCCCATCGTGGGTTCCTGACCTGTTTCCTAACCTGCCATCCCTGAGCTCTGTCCTCCAGCTCCTCTATGTCCCCTAGTCCACCCCCCCCAGCTCTTCTGTCCCCACTCCCCTCTTCCCATTCTATGGATCCTCCCACTCCACTCTGTATCCCAACTCCTTCCTGTTTGCCTATCCTCCACCCTTTCTGCCCTCCCATGGTTCTATCTGTAACTTTCTGTACCCTAACCCCTCCCAACCTTCCAACCCCTATCTATTGCATCCTGTCCCAATCCTCCTTTCTCTCTGCCCACCAAAGCCCCATTTTGTACAACCCCCTTTCAGAAGCCTGAACCATCTCCTTCCCCATCTTCACCTTTCCCTAGCTCTTCCAGCTCCCCCAATTTCCAGCTCTCCCTTCTGACTGCCATTCCCCCCCTTCCCAGTATTTCCTTCTCCATCCTTCCACCAACACCACTGTCTCGTCATCTGGCCCTAAATCCTTATCCATTTCCTCATGTCTGATCCTACATCTTCCCTTCCTCCCATTCTCTCTGTGTTTACCATCCCCTTTTTAGCCCATCTCTAGCCCCAGCTCACTTCTCCTATTTTTGACCTAGCTACACCTGTTTGCTTTACTGCCCTTTGATCACCACCCCTTTCCTATGTACCTCCCAGGTCACCTCTGTGTCACTCTTGGTGTCTCTGCCCACTATCCATCTCTTCTCTGTATAATTTTTGTGACCCCTCCCACTCATCCGCCATCTGTCTTTGTTCCCCCCCCATCCCATAAACCACTCCCCATTGCCCAGCCCCGTGACCCACCTGACCCTTTGCCACTCCTGGATCACCTCCTCCTTTGGTCCCTCGGTGGTCCCCATCTGTCTCACGCTCATTCTCTCCCTGCATCCCCACCCCCCACTTTGGCCCATTTGCTGTTTCTGAACCCTGTTCCACTTCCTTTTTGCCACTCATCACCCTGTCTGTCCTAGGGCTCTGTGCTCAGGCTTTCTTGACCTCTCTCCTTCAGGGATGACGTGGCTGTGGTCACTGCTGTTGCTGGGGCTAGGCCTGGGCAAAGGGGCATGGGGCAAGCCCCCCCCAGATACTGGGGTCCCTCTCTCAAGCCGGGTGCACCAGCAGGCCCCACTGAGTGAGGCCAAGCACGATGATGCCCATGGAGATTTCCAATTTGACCACGAGGCCTTCCTGGGCCGGGAGGCAGCTCGGGAGTTTGACCAGCTCAGCCCAGAGGAGAGCAAAGCCCGGCTAGGGTATGAGGAGCGCGCGAGACAGAGAGAGAGAGAGAGAGAGAGAGAGAGTGTGTGTGTGTGTGTGTGTGTATGTGTGTGTGTGTGTGTGTGTGTCCCCGACCTAGTTCAGGTCTATGTTGGTTCCTCCTATCCCAAACTCCTGGATGGGATGGATGTTGTGGGGGTGGGGAAGTTAGCATCTCCTGCCATATAAGGAATAGTAGAAGAAACATGGGCTGTTTACCCTAGGGAAGTCTGGGGAACAGGGTTGTGGGGGTGGGGAGGGCAGCTGTGCGATCTGTTCTCCAGAATCTGGAAGGGTTGTCATGGGGAGAGAAGGATTGGCCTGGAGGGCAGCAATGGGGGTGGGGTGGGGCGGGGTTAGGGAGGGAGGGCCTGGAGGGAAAGGGAGGGAGTTACAGGGAGGCAGATTTAGGTTCTGTCTGGAAAACTTTTTAGCAATGAGGGCTGTCTAAAAGTAGAGCAGGCTACCTAGGCAGACTGGGGGTGCCGCCCCCTCCCTGTCTTCTTCTCTGCCCCTTTCAAGCACATGCTGTATGACCGTTTGGCTTGGGGGGGTGGGACTTAGTGAGGTGGCCACCAAAGTCAGTCATTCAATCAACAAGCAGTCAGGTCCAGCCACTGTGAATACCCATCCGAAGAGAAGAGTCCCTGTCCTCAAGGAACTTCCATTCTACTAGGGAGCTAGTTATTCCACGTCCCTGTCCCCTCTGAAGGTACTTGTGACCCTCTTACCGTCCCCCCATCGCACCCTGCTGCAGGCGGATTGTAGACCGAATGGATCGCGATGGAGATGCTGATGGCTGGGTGTCGCTAGATGAACTCCGGGCCTGGATTTCTCATACTCAGCAACGGCACATCCGTGACTCAGTTACAGCTGCGTGGGACACCTACGATACTGACCGAGACGGCCGTGTGGGCTGGGGGGAATTGCGCAACATCACCTATGGTCACTACCAGCCTGGTAAAGCGAGGAGTCCAAGCCCTTCATCCTGCTGGCACTCTCTGACCCCGTACCAGCCAGCCGCTCCACTGAGTGACCCAGGCTGCTCCTGCCTCTTGGCCTAATCTCTCTCCACCTGCTGTCCTCTCCTCTCAGCTGGGGGGATGGGCTTATTCCCCCCCCCCCACCTCCATCCTGGTTCTGTGGTCTCTGCTCCAGGCCTCCTTCCTCCTGACCCTCCTCTTTCAGGAAGGCACCTTCAGCAGGCAGGGTCGGGAAGTGATTGCCCTTGAGTGTTGTGTGACCAGGGTCAGTCATTGCCTCCTTTCTGGCTTGCTTGACGTGTGTTGTCTGTGATTTCATTTGAGATTCATGGAATGGGGTTCAATGACAGTATCCCCTGAGGAGTGCCCCCTCACCCGGTCTCTTGATGAGATTACAAGGTGTGCTTCATACAACAAAGCCTCTCCTGAGACAGACAGGCACGGCTGGCCAGGGTGCCCACAGGCTTTGACCCCTTTTCCTGACTGACTGTTTTGGCCACAGTTTTACCCACTCCCTTTGGCCACAAAGAGGGGAGCCCTCAGGTTACTCCATGAAATGAGGGAGAGGTGATCAGATTCCTGATCTAGCACCTGTAGACATGGTACTGCCCCAGACTGTCTCCCACTTGCCCAAACTAGCTTTTGTCTTAATCGCCTCCTCCTCCCGGTCTCCAGGGCCGGGGATTCTGATCATTGCTTCCTGCTATCCTTTTTCTCCCGACTGGGTTCCCTTCCATTCCCCCTCTTCCCTCCACACGCGCTCCCAGCTTCCATTCAGCCCTCCTGTGATGGGTCTCTCCCTCGAGTCACAGTCCATGGCCCGGCCTTTGGAGCCTGCTAGTTGAGGCTTCCTCCCTGGCCTGGTAGCTGCCTTGTTGGCATTCCCAGGGAGGGGGGCCTGGAAGCCCTGCCTCAGTCCTCTCCCCTGTCCCCCCTCATCCCAGGAGAAGAGTTCTCCGATGTGGAGGATGCAGAGACGTATAAGAAGCTGCTGGCTCGAGATGAGAGGCGATTCCGGGCAGCTGACCAAGATGGGGATTTGCAGGCCACCAGGGAGGAGTTCACAGCCTTCCTGCACCCAGAGGAGTTCCCCCACATGCGAGATACCGTGATTGCTGTGAGGATGCAGGCACTGCACTTTCTCTCCACCCCACCCTACCTCATTCTCCCTCTTGGTCCCAGATGCTGCCTGGGAAGACCCCTGGGCCAATCAGGTCACTTCTCAGGGCCCGATTCCTCACCTTTAAGGGGGCTGCACCCTGCTAGGTGGCCTCTCAAGGGCTTTCCAGCCCCTATGACCCAAAGCCCCCTAAGCCTGGCTTCTCTTCCCCCAGGAGACCCTGGAGGATTTGGACAAGAATGGAGATGGTTATGTGCAAGTGGAGGAGTATATAGGTGAGGGGACTGCCACCATGGGGAGTGAGTGGCAGGAAGGGATGCCCTGCCCTGTCCTGGCGGGATGCTGACATCCTTCATCTGTCTCCCGACATGCCCAGCGGACCTGTACTCCCCAGAGGCAGAGGGAGGTGAGGAACCTGCCTGGGTGCAGACAGAGCGGCAGCAGTTTCGAGACTTCCGGGACCTGAACGGGGATGGGCACCTGGATGGTCATGAGGTGGGGCACTGGGTGCTGCCCCCGGCCCAGGACCAGCCACTGGTGGAGGCCAATCACTTGCTGCAGGAAAGTGACACTGATAAGGTAGGGAGCCACTGGGGAGGCCAGTGGGGGGTGCTGCCAGGGCCTGGCAGCATCAGGACCTGATGCCAGACCAAACCTCCCCACAGGATGGACGCCTGAGCAAACAGGAGATCCTGGGGAACTGGAACATGTTTGTGGGTAGCCAGGCCACCAACTACGGTGAGGACCTGACACGGCACCATGATGAGCTCTGAGCACGCTGCTGTGGAGGGGCTCTGATCCCTGGCCCCTGGCCTCCAGCCCCCAGCACCAATTGACTCCAGCCAGTACTTAACAAATACTCCTCCTGCCCTCACCCTGCACCGAGATGGCAGAAATACCCATCATACATATAGTCAGCAAAACCTCATTTATGAAACAGGGAGTGAAGATAGAGAGGGCAAACAAACCCCATGGGCTATGGCCCAGGGCCCTTCTAGCCACAACCCTGCTTGGGGCTCGCCTGAACTCAAGCCAGGGAGCCCCAGGATTCCTGGTAGAGAACGTTGGGCCCCACCTTCACACAGCCCTAGGGCCTAGGAGTCATAACTGAAGGCTCTTGAGCATCTTCTGTGGATCCCCTGGATACATTTCCTCTCTGGACCTTTTCTGGGCATACATGGGGGCCCAGCTTCACCGAGCCTTTCGCAGTCACAAGCCAGAGCCCCTGAAGGCCTGGCCTTCAGCATTAGGATCAGCACTGGGGCCCCCAAATGCAAGAGTGCAGAAAATCTGAGCCCCAAGCCGGCAGAAGTACTGATTTTCCTCATCTCCTCCCTCCGGACCTCAGAGCCCACGTTCCGACCCCAGAGGATGGGTGGGAGGGAGGGGCTGCAATAAAAGCCAAGGCCTCAAGTTCCTGGTGTCTGACCTATCCTAGGGGGGGTCCCAGAGATGGGCAGGCAGTGGGATGCCTGGGTGCCCAACCCCTCACACTGGTGCCAGGGAACCGGAAGCCAACACATTTATTATCCACTGGCTCCATCGAGAACGAGCCACCCCACCCCCCAGCCCCCACCGGGCCCCTTCAGGCCTGCATTACAGGGCGAGACTTCTTGGCCTCCAGCTGCACTCCAGAACCTGCAAAGCCAGTGCCGCCCTAGGGAAGAGGACAAACACGGGGTGATGAGTCATCAGGAGGACAGAGGGGCAATGGGGAGACAGGGAGAAGGGGCTAGGGTGGGCCTCTTACCCTCTGTAGCAGAATGATGTCCTTGTCTGTGAGTGGATCCCCACTGATGGGATCCACCATGTCTTTGCGAATCAAACGCTCCACACACTCCACAGTCACCACAGCCCCCCTGGGAAAGGAGGGAGGGCAGGCTGGTGAGGCCTGGCTCGCAGGCCTCTCTGCCCTCCTCGGCCCCATGAGCCCCGAACTCACGAAGGCCGAAGCACAGCGCAGGGGGTGGAGTTGCTCAGGCTGTCCCGCGTTACTGCGCAGACGTAGCGCTCGCTCCGAGTGATCAGCCCCACCCTGTCCACGGAGCCATCCACAGGCATGAAGCGCACAGAGATGAGGTCCGACAGGCGCAAGGGTTTCCCTGACATCGGGCACTTCACGATGCGTGACTGCTTCCGACACACACACACACACGCACACAGGTGAAGTGGGCTCAGAGGAGGGGGTTATGGGGCTCCCCAGGCCCTGGGGTCAGCAGGGGACAGGGTCCTCTCACCGGCTTCTCCAGCTTGGTGGCCTTGGCTTCAGGGGTCAGCGATGGGATCCAGAAACTGGGTAACTCCTTTGCCTTCTCCTTGTCCCCGGCCTCGGGGGCTGAGTTGGGTCCTGGCTGGGGATCCCCTGGGGTGAGCAGAAAACCGATCTTAGTGGGGTTCAGAGGAACTCTGCTCTGCTGGGCAGGAAGCATGTGGGGGGCCCTGTGCCCCTTCCTCACCTGGGCTGGCACCTTCTCGAGGAGTGAAAGGGTTGAGGGGCCGGCTGACAATAGCTGCTTCCTTCTCCAGGAAGCCCCGAAGCTGGTCCTGGGCAGCGGCCCGGCTTAGCTCCCGCCGTTCCTCCTGCTGGGCGCCTCGCTGCTTTTCATAGGCCTGGTGGGTGGGGCAGGAGGAGAAACATCAGTCCTGTTGCTCTTGGGGACTCCTTCCCCTCTAGGCCCTTCAGGTCTCCCCTTCCTTCCTGCCTTCAGGGGTCCCTTCACCTTCATCTGCCGGGCGATCTCGCGCTTCTGGTGCAGGATGTACTCCAGGATTGCTTCGCGCTCATATAGGAAGCCGTCAGGACTGCAAGGCACATGGGGGTGCAGGGTCACCACAGAAATAGGAGATGTCCCCGGAGACCCAGCAGCCACATACAGAGGCACCAATAAAGAGCAGGGTAGATGCAGAGATGCTCAAGCGATTGTGTGTGTGTGTGTGTGTGCACCCCTCCTCCATCCAACACTGATCCAACTTGACATATGCAGGGAATACCCACCAGATACCAACACAGGCAGGGCCTCAGTGAGCTTGCAATTTAACAGAGACAAGGGCCCAGGCCCCACAGCCTAGGGAGCACCAACAGGGACAGCATTGACACACCTGGGGTGCTGGGGCCCCTCCCCGCTCCCCATCCACCCAACTCGGTGCACTGGCTCCCTCCTCACAAGGCTGAACTCAAGGGCCACCTCCTGCAAGAGGTCTTCCTGATTTCTTCAGCTGTTTGCCATCCCTGCCCATCTCTGCACACCCCAGCAGAATGTAAGCACCTAGAGGGTGGAGCCAAGCGAAGGAGGAAGTACATTCTGGGTACAGAGGATGGCCTGGGCAAAGGAGGACCTCGTCTTAACTGCCTGCTGTGTGGGGTGCTGGGGTCGCTGGCAGGAGCAGGACAGAGACAAGAACCAGAGACCCACCCCCTCCCCGGCTCACGTGACCACAGGGTCGTGACAGGGCTGCAGGGAGAGGCAGCAGCAGTCAAAGTCCTTGACGGCATCCCGACTCAGTCGCACATTCTGAGTTCCATAGCCCGAGGCCGCTGGCAGGGGAGAGCGAGAGATGGGGATGGTGGGCCCAATGAGCACACAGAACCCCAGACCTGACAGCCTGAGCAGCGGAGGCAGAGGCTGAGTGAAAGGAAGACGAGGAGCTCCACGGGGAGGCCCCGAGAAGGCCCCCACCTCCATGGACATTACCAGTGTCTTTTTTCTTCTCGTGGTATGTGTACACGGCGCCTGCCGTACAGTTCTTCCCGTGACGTGTCATCCTGGGGGAAAAGAGAAGAGGCTGAGCCTGGACGCTGCAGAGTGGGACCAGAGCAGAGGGAAGACCATGCCAGATTTTCTGTGTTCGAAGGGTCTCCAAGGCCATTTTGGCTTCCTTCCTAAGAATTCCCCCTACAATGGGGCTGACAGGCACTTGCAAGGCTCTGGGGAGGAGACAGGGCTCCCTGCAGGGGCAGCTGGGCCCACTCTAGCTCAGCTCTGCCCATCAGGCTGCGTGGCTTCACTCAGTCACAAATCTGCTGCTCCTCCTCCTAAGTCTGCTTAGGCGACAAGGCAATGGGGTTAAGTGACTTCCCATGGTCCCACTGCTAGTGTTATGTCTGAGACCGCATTTGAACTCAGGTCCTCCTGACTCTAGGGCCAGTTTGCTATCCACTGTGCCACCTAGCTGCCCCTGGGGGGACCTTTTTTTGACATGGTCTTCTAGTATGTTCTCCAACATTCAATTCAAGAAGCATTAAGTGCCTACTATGTGCTGTGGATACAAAAGGCCCTGGGGATTGAAAGCAGCAAACAGTCTCTGCTGCAGACAAAGCCAATAAAGAGGAGGCGGGCAGCACCAAAGCCCCGGTCCTGCCAAGCTGCTCGAGGCCCCAGGCACCGCAGGGCTCTGCTTCTTCTGGCCCCGGCCCTCATGGCCACCACTAAGCTCCTTAGCCCCAGGCTCAAAGGCTCCTCCCAGGTCCTTTCGTGCAGCATCCTCCTCCTCTCTTGGCTGCCAGGACACCAAGGGCTCCTGCTTTTCCTCCCACCTCTCTGACCACTGCCAAGCTTTGGGTTGTCTGCCCAAGGCTCTTCCTTTCCACCTTTTCTCTATCTACTCTGGCTGTTTTTTTCTGGTTAGGCAATTGGGGTTAAGTGACTCACCCAGGGTCACACAGCTAGTAAGTGTCAAGCGTCTGAGGCCGCATTTGAACTCAGGTCTTCCTGACTCCAAGGCCGGTGCTCTATTTACTGTGCCACCCAGCTGCCCCCTTTTCTCTATCTACTCTTGCACTAGTCAACCACCTCTTCTGTGCAGATAATAAGCCCACTGATACAACAGGCACTTAATAAATGTCTCTCACCTGAATCTCTTTCTAGTCTGAGCCCCAAGGCCTTCGTCTCTGCATGCTGAACATGCAGGTAGGCCTTGGTCAGTGTGATCCACACTAACCTGTCTTTCCCCCACGCTGTCTCTCCCATGTCCCCAATACCCTGCACTATAGCTTGTCACTCCCTCACCTCCCCATTACAGGCACCCGCAGTCCGACGGCCTTCTTTGTCCCACTCTCTGGCCACAGGCACCTTCTTTCATGCCTAGCTCTGTCCTTATTCCATCTCTGCGAAGGAACCCTTTGGGGTTTCCCAAGAAACAACTCTCAGCCCAGGCTCCCTTTGTGGCATCCCCTGGCCCCCAAATACACCTCTTTGGGACTGGCCTTGAGTTTCCTGGTGTGTTCCCCATGGCCACTCCTGGGCCAGAACACCTTCCCTTTCCCTTCCATTCCAGGCTCTGCTCAGGAATGGCCTCCAGTCCAGGTGTGATCCTCCCTCGGTCCAGCAGGCCGAGGCCAAGGAAACAGAGGCCACAGTTCAGCCAGAAGATGACTTAGGGGCTAGGGCTGGATCGCAGCTCACATAAGGCATCCTATCTCCAAGCCTTTGCACAGCCAGGCCCTCACGCTGGGAATGCTTTCTCTCCCTTCAGGCATCCCTGGCCACCAGCAAGGCCCAGCTCAAGTGAAGCCTTTTCTGATCCTCTGTGACCTAGTATTGAGTGCAGACATTCACACTGTTCCCCCCAACAGACTGTAAGCTCCATGAGGGCAGGATCAGTTTGATTTTTGGGCTCCCTCAGTCTCCACTTCCTAAGGCACCCTGGGCTGCGTGTGAGGCAAATGCTGAAATGGCAATCTCAGGCCCTTTCGATCAAATCCAGCCTTTGCCAGTTACTAGCCATGTGACTTTGGCTGAGTCACTTCCCCTGTGTGCCTCAGTTTCCTCATCTGGGAAAGGAAGAGACCTCCAAGGTCTCTGTCTCAAAGACTGTCAGGCTCTAGAGAGGTAAGGGTTTCTCCATGGAGAGCTAAGAGGCACATTTCCATGGCCCAAGTTCCCCTGCAGTGAGAGCCTAGCCCAAGTGGAGTGGGCAGCCTTGGGAGGGAGCTGGCTTCCCCTTCTGGTCCAGATGACCGGACCCCCGGCTGGCAATGGCCCTCTGAGGGTGCTCCTGGACTTCCTCTCCTCTCTGTAACAAGCCCTCTAAAAACTGGTCTCTTCCAACCTCAGCGTCTTAGCTGATCTCCTCCTCCCCTTCCCCCACACAGAGCCTCGGCCTCCCTCCCCACTAAACTCTTCCTCGTCTTTGTTCCGCCTCTTCCCTCTTTCCCTGCCGGCATCTCACCAACGCCTTCACAGGCTGGAGAGTGGCCAGAAGAGGGCTGCCAAGACAGATGGAAAGCTGCCCAGGGCCAAACTGCTGTCACCTAGGTCTTCCTGGCTTGGACTCAGGGCTCTAGCCACCAAGGCACACAGGCACGTGAGGATTAGCTGAAGGCACTGGGGGTGGACAACAGCTACTTTCAAGGATGCGAAGGGCTACCGTGTAGAAAAGCCCATGAGATCTGGCTTCCTTGGCTGCAGAGGGCAGCACCAGCGGGGGAGGGGCTGGAGGGCGGGGAGGAAGCTGTTTGATGCCAATTTTGGCCCCATGGTAAGAAACACTTCCTATTCAGGAGTGGGCTGGGACTCCTTGGGAGGTGGCAGGCTCCCCGTCCTCGCAGATCCTCAAGCAGAGGACGCAGGGATTCTATTTAAGCTCTACACTGGCCCCGCTGGCCATTGAAACCCTTTCCAAATCAGAGCCTCAGAGGTTCTGGGAAAGCTCAAGTCAAACATCACCTCCCCCCAAAGGGCTCCTCAGCCTCTCAGATCTTGCAGAGAACATGGTTTTACCATGATCTGACGCCCCTAAGGCATGGCGGTGTGTGCCACACTTCAAAGTGTGAAGTGTGAGGGAAGGGATCCTGTCTCATATAAACATTCTGTCTCCTATCACTGAGCACAGAGCAAGGATGTAACAAGTGTTTATAAAAGAATGAATGAAGCCTAGGATTGAAGAACACTAGGAAATCACATTATTTATTCTTACTGATTTTCAGTCCCCTAAGATCTCATCTTCCTGACTTCAAATCTGGACACCAGCTGTGTGACCCCAGGTAAGTCATTTAACCCTGTTGGCCTCAGTTTTCTCACCTATTAAATGAGCTGGAGAAGGAAATGGCAAACACTCCAGTATCTTTGCCAAGAAAACCCCAAATGAGGTCAGGGAGAGTTGGACACGACTGAACAACTAAAGGGGGTGGCTCAGTGGGCTTTGTTTGAAGACCTCGAGTGACAGGGAGCTCACTACTTCCTAAGCAGACCATTCCACACTAGGATAGGTTGAACCAGCACTTGTTTTTTGTTTGCTTATTTTTTTTAAGGCAATTGGGGTTAAGTGACTTGTCCAGGGTCACACAGCTAGGAAGTCTCAAATGTTTGGTCTGAAGCTGGATTTGAACTCAGGTCCTCCTGACTTCAGGGCTGGTTCTCTATCCACTGTGCCACCTAGCTGCCCCTACTTATTTTTTTTAAATTGGGTTTCCCATCTCATCCAGACTGAAAATGTGGGAGCCACTCATGGGCTTGACCCTGTTACTGATGGCTACAGGAGCATTCTGACCTGGGTTCTCCTCTCCTTAGGCAAACTGGTGCCCGGGCCTCTTACTCCACAGGGGTTCACACGCCTCAGGCTCCTGGGAGCAGGCATTACAAGGATGTTCCTCAAGTGCCAGCCCAGGCAGAGATTACCAAGAAGCTTCTCCTGATCCCAATCCCTCTGCCATCTCTACTGCTCCTAGTTCTTTCCTCTGGGGTTTCCCTCTCTCAGGGACCCTCAAATTTATGCCCTCGGCCCCAGCTCCATCTGCCCACCACCCCTTCTCCAACTGCCCCGCAGCTCCTCCTCCAGCCGTCCCACACTCCCCCGCCGCCAGTCCCCCTGCCCATTGTCCCTCTTCCAGCTGTCTCCCCCGCCCCCAGCCTGTCAAACTCCATCCCCCCGCCCCCCATCCCTCCAGGGCTGATGGCCCAAAGAAGCCGACGCTACAGCGGGATGTGGGCCGGACGGAGGACAGAGCTGGGGGCTGCTCCAAGCCCCCGCCCCCGCCGGAGATCTCCAAGCACCGAGAAAGCCTTGGGCGCTCGGCTCACCTCGGCCTGGGATCTCCAAGCCCGAACAGAAGCCCTTGGGTAACGCCGCTCTCACAACAGCACAGCCACGCTCCCTGCGTCAACAACGAACAGGAAGTGAGGCGGCACTAAGGCCCGCCCCTCCGACTGTGCCGCCCACTTCCGCCGCTCCCGGAAGCGCACCGCCCCCGAGCATCCGCCACGTGTCCACTCGCCTCCGTTCCCCCCGAGCCTGTGGCCGGCGCCTCCGAGGTTCCGGGAGGTGAGAGCCGGGGGCGGGGCTGGAGGCCTCGGCCCCACCCCCGGGACCTGGGCAGCCTCTGGGCCGGGGCTGGCGCTGGGCTCCAGGGCCTGTGACCCAAGGGGCTGGGTGACCCAGGGCAATTCCCATACCCCCTAGAAAGATCTCAGTTTCCTCCTCTGGCCATGGTGGTGGTGGTGGTGGTGGTGGTTGGTGTGTGTGTGTGTGTGTGTGTGTGTTTTTGGGGGGGTCGGTCGAGAGCCATTCGTGCTGGCCGACTCCCCTTGCCCAGGCAAGAAGCATCCCCCATCCAGGCCCAGCATCCTCAGGTCATGGTCAAGGTCAAATCTATCCTACCTGGCTCCTTTAAACACCTGGGCCTTACCTGGGCCCCTCCCCTCCCAGGTGAGCTTTGGGGCCCCGCCCTTTCTCAGCTGGGCTGGCCACCTTAAGGCCACTGGGAGCCGGGTCCTGCTCCCTCGCCTCCTGGCCACACAGCCCCAAATCCCCGGCCTCGTGTGGTCTCTCCTCTGGGCAGGTGAGTGAGTGAATCACTGGCCAGGAAAGCCCTTCCCTAGGCCTGCCCTTTGTGGAGGCCACCCGTCCCTGGCCCAGGAGTCCAGCCTCCCCCTCTCCCCCCACTCCATCCCTTATGGGCTCAGGTGTTCAGGCACCTGCCTTCCTCCCCTACTCCCCTCAAGGATCCAGACCCTGGAACCTCTAGCTTTGCTTTCTGGGGGGCACAGTTGTCCAGGCCTTCACTTAACGCCTACCCCCCTTAGAAACTCAGGTGCCTCCTCACAGTCCCTAGGTCAGGCAGGTGTCTGAACTCTTGTTACCTAAGCTTGTCCCTCTCCTCATCCCTTCCCTGCCCAAGCCTCTCCTCTAATCTTTGCCCTCAAATACCGGATGTGATATGTGACCCTTGAGCAGGCAGCAAGGTCTGGGGAATTCCGAGTTGGGGGTGGAGAGGGTGAGTTGGAAAGGGGGTGGACCTGGTCTGGGGCCTGCCTGCCAGCCACCTCAGCCCTGGCCCTGAGGCCCCCTAGTGGCGAGAGTGGGTTTTCTTCTGATGGTACTCAGGTGTACAAGTTGGGGAGTGAAGAGAATATCCCTAGAATAATTTTTTCTGCCTTTGTGGGGGGGTGGTGGCTCCCTAGGTCGGTTGTCTCTGCCCCGCTATGAGGGGCTCCCCCTTCCTGCTACTGCTATACCTTGGGCTGACTTTCTCTCGAGCTTCCCAGCCTGGCCTGAGGAAAGATCATGGTGAGTGCCTACAAAAGGATCAGGGGAAGGGTGGACAGGGTCAGACACAGCTGTCTCCCCCACTCTGGGGATCCAGGCATCTTGTCCCTGACCCTAAGGCACAGTGGATCCCCTGAGTAATTCTCGGGTATTTGGGCCACTGCCCTCATTATGGGCAGGCAAGTATATGGTTTTCCCCCATTCTGTCTGGGGATATGAAGACACCTGTGCCTCCAAACCCATCCCCGCCCTCCCCTACCCAGATCTACGTATATGGTCCTCTGCCTTTACCTTCCAGGCTACCTGTATTTAGCCTACCAGCATTTCCCCCCTCCCCCAAACTCAGAGACCTTGGCCAAGTATTCACCAGTGCCCTTGTCTGACTTCAGGTTCTGCTGCTGGCCCAGACCCCACAGCTGTGTTCTTAGGAGCCCCCACAGCCCAGAGTTTCCTGGGGAGTGGACCTGGGCCCCGGCGCTTACCCCGGGCTAATCATTGGGATTTGGAGCTTCTGACCCCTGGGAACTTGGAACGGGAATGCCAGGAGGAGCAGTGTTCCTGGGAAGAGGCTCGGGAGGTCTTTGAAGACAGGACGTTGACGGTATGTGAGGAGAACTCGGGCCAGGCAGAGACTGGGACTGAAACCTGGGCCCTGAGACGCCTAGAGGGCCAGTGGTAGAATTGGTTCAAATCTTAACTTAGAGAGCCAGTCATGGTGGGCTAGGTTTAGAGTCTTGGGTGGTCTAGGGAACTGGCCTGAGAGGCCAGGGAACTTGGGGTGCTTACTTAGGATGAAGGATAGGGCTGAAACTAAGGTGAGGAGTGGGGGGGGAGGGCAGGGATACCTAGTGATAGGGCAGGCTAATTGACTGATTCCTAGAGTTTGGAGGTTAGAACTAGGGTGAGTATTGGGCAGAGGAATGTGTTCTGTGGATCAGAGGGCAGTTGGAGGGCTGGGCTTGTAATTATGACCTGTAAAGACGAGGTCAGGAATGGGGAAAGTAAGGGTTGGGACTATGGTGAGGATAGGGAGGGGTTATGGGGACCAGGGTCAGTATGGGGGCAGGGGTACCAGAAAGTGGGTTTGCACTGGACTGTGCCAAGAACCTGGCTTCAGAGAGATTACTGAAGAAAACAGAAGAAGTCTCCTGGGGGTTGGGAGGGGGTCCCTGTGGGTGGGCTCCCCCAACTCTTGTCTGCAAGGTCTGTAGGAAGGGTGGGGCCTGATCCCATGGGGCTAGGCCTAATGTGACCCAAAGTTCTGGGTGAGCAGGACCTGGGAGGGGGGTGGGTACCTGTGTGTGGGGGGTAGAGCCCAGGAGGGGTTGGTACCATGGGGGCAGGGCCTGCCAGGACAGTAGCTAGGGCTTAAGTTGCCTCTGCTTCTGCCCTAGGATCTCTTCTGGGAGACCTACCCCTACAATGGGAAGGGTGGCGCTGGTGAGTACTAGGTTAAGCACTGGGGACCTCACCCCATTCTTGTGAACCACACCCCAGGAGGAGGTCCTGGGAGTGCAGAGCTCATCCCTTCCTTAACTAATTCAACTTGATACCAAGGGATCCAATCCAGATCCGGGCCCTGCCCTCACCCTGTCTCCAAGCCTTAAATGGCCCAGCTGGACCTGGGGATCCTGAAGCCCTAAGTAACCTGGGCCCAGCCCACCTTTCCATCCTTCTGGGGCACTTGCCATCTTTCCAAGCACTTTGCAAGCAGGCCTAACCGGCCTTGTGCCTTTTGCAATTCCTGATGGGCAACATCATGCTTCCTTTCCTCTCCCAACTTTCTCCTCACTTTCACTTTGTAGGAAGTCTAGTTTCCTCTAGGGTTAGCTGACAAGCCCTCTCCTCCTTCTCTCAGCTGTTGGCTGGTGTCTCCTTTTGAAATATGCAGCCCCTGGGATTTGCTTTGGTCTTCTTTTGTGTCCACTTACATTTAGAGTGATACTATATATCCATTTCCATCTTCTTTGTATATCATTGGGAGCCTGCTTATAGATACTTTGTATCTACTTTGTTTCCACTTCTACACAGGCCACATTTCTCGTGCAAACACCATCATCTGCTTTTTGTCTTGGAATCATCTGGCTCAGAATACCTAGCCCAATCTCACCCTAGTTTAAATGCCTATTGATAGAAAAATAACAATTTTGTGCAGAGTGGGAGAGAGATTATGGGTGAAGACAAGAATCTGTGCAAAATAAGTGTAAAGAAAATTCAGGGGAATTTCTGGAAGGGGAAGAATGCAGAGGGGTCAGCATCAGGAAAGACCTCTAGCAGCTGAAGCTGGAGCAGAGCTAGGGAGGGAGAACTTTCCAGGTACAGGTGAGATGGACATTCCCTAGCAATGGTAGTATGGGGCCTCATGAGGCTGCTAAAACCTGCGGCCCCAAAGCCCTAACGGAATAAATCCTTTCTCCCCCAACACTAAAGGGACACTAACCACAGGGCCTGTTTAGGTGAGAAACCATCTTTTTTCAAATTAAAAAAAATGAGAAATCATTCTTAAGGTGTTCATTCCCTAACACAGGGCCTGGTGAGGCTGGAGGTCTGTGGGGACTTGCTGTCCCCTTCCCCGGCCCAGTAGCCTTGTCTTAAGGAAGTGTGTGCCTCAGCAATGGGGCTGAGGGTTGAGATCTAGGGGAGAGTGAGATCTCAGTGGCTTGATGACCTGACCCTTACTCCACTCCTTTCCTTTCCAACAGGGAATGGACAGGTAGATGTAGCAGCATTGGCTGTGGGGCTGGTGGCTGGCCTACTAGTCTTGCTTCTGGCAGCCCTGGGCACATTCTGGTATCTGCATAAGCGGAGGCAGTTGCATCAAAGCCCTGGGCCCTCTCCCCAAAGGTGAGGGGCTGGGGAGAACAGGAAGCTGGGGCTATCCAGGGGCTCTCTTTCACATATTGTGATGGGGCTGGCAGCAAAGGCAAGCCTTGTGGCTGGAGGTGGGGCTCAGGGGACATGTCCAGTGGGCTCCAGTTCATGGAAGAGGCCTGGGTCCCTGTGGATCCTGGGTGGGCCAATCTTGATGGTAAGTTTTTTTCTCCTTCAGTCTCCATCTGGTCAGGTCTGACTCTCCCTTCTCCTCTTCCCCCCCCCCCCCCCCCCCCCGGCATCTGGGTCTCATCTGCCTGGTCTTGCCCTACTAGTAATACTCTTCACGGTATTATCCTCCTCTCTTTGGGATCTTTATCTCTTATCGATGCTCTCCCGACTTTTTTTTTTTTAACTGCTATATCCCCTTACTCTCCCCATCTCTTCTCTCTCCCCTCCCCTCCTTTTTTGGGTCTTCCCCTTCAGGGGCTGACTCTCTCTCCCCACCCACAGAGCCTTCCTGGTGACGGAGGATGTGCCCTTGACTCCCTTGCCGCCTCCCCCCGGCCTCCCCACTTACGAGCAAGCACTGGCAGCCTCAGGGATGCATGACGCTCCCCCCCCACCCTACCAGAGGTACCTGCACGGAGGGGCGGAGTCTGAATGGAATCCCTCCCAGGGGCGGGGCCCGCGGGACAACAATCAGGGATTGGAGGAGAAACCTTGGGAGCTGAAAGCCCCTCCCCGGCGCGCCTCTGACTCCCTTTTCTCCATCCCCTCCCCGTAGCATTCGGCGGTCCCGCTGAGAAGACGACCTCCTCTTCCCCCCCTCAAGCCAGCCCGCGTCTTCTCTGCCTTGTGACCCCCTTCCACCCCCACTTTGGAAACCCAGAACAGGGCTGGAAAAGATTTGTCTGGGAAGTCGACTGCCCTTCTTCTCTCTCCCCTCCCCCTGAGTGTGCCCGGCCCGGTTCCACACACGTGGCCCTCTCCCCCTTCAGGACACACGCAGGTTCCTTGTGTGTCCAGGCTTCCTCGGGCCCAAGACGTATGGGCACACGTGTCCTAGGTGGCTCCAGTGGCCTAGGTGCGTGCACACAGACGTCCGAGTGGGACAAGCCTTTATGATGGCTCTCCCGCCCCATCTACATAGTGGCCGGTGCCAGTCTCCCTAGGGGGTGCCCTAGGTGGGTCTCGACCTCTTCGGATAGGTGGTGCATCCCTGCTCCTTTGGAGCCTAGTTCTAGACAGTCCCAAACGTATTGGGGGAGGGGGAGGGGCCGACTCCGCCTCCGCCTCCCCCTCCCCCCTGCCGCCACCACTGGCCTTGGCTGCACCCGCCCTGGGCCCAGAGAGAGCAGGGCTCGGGCAGAGGCCGGCCTCGCTCCGGCACGTCGGGCGGGCCGCGGCCGCGTCTGCGCGCTAGCTGCAGCAGGGGCGGGCCAGGTTGGGGGCTCCTTTCTCCAGCCCAGCCTGCTTCGGCCCCTCCCTCCCTCCCTCCCTCCCTCCCTCCCTCCCTCCCTCCGTCCCTCCGCCCGCCGCGGGCAGCTCGTTCACTCTCTTGCGCTCCAGCCTTGGCTCTTAGGCTCGGGCTTTTCTTTTTTTTTCTTTTCTTTTTTTTTTTACATTTGCATTTGCACGGGATTGTGGGAGGAAGCGGAGCGCTGCCAGACAGCCCGCCGCCCCCCGCCCCCCTCCCTCCTCTCCCCTCCCCCTCCCTCCTCCTCCCTCCTCCTTCCCCGCAGCCAGCCGCCTTGTGCAAAGATGGCTGCACGGTGAGCGAGGAGGAGGAGGAGGAGGCGGCGGCGGCGGCGGCGGCGCCGGACGAGCGGCAGAGAGCGCCCGCAGCGGCCCCGCGCAGCGCAGCGCCCAGTCCCCCGCGGCCGCCCAGCCGGCCCCGACCCGCGGGGCGCCCCCCGCAGCGCGCCGAGCCTCGGGGAGCCCTAGTCCCCCGCCTCCCCTCCCCCGCCTCCCCTCCCCCTTCCCTGCCTCCTCCTCCTCCTCCTCCTCCTCCTCCTCCTCCTCCTCCTCCCCCGCCTCCCTCTCCCCTCCCGGCCCCGTAGGCGCGGGCCCCGCGGCGGCAGAGGCAGAGAGAGGCCCCGGCCCCGGGCCCGGGCCCCCGGTGGCGGCTGCAAGCGCGCTGCGCCCCCTCCCCGTCCCCTCTCCCCCTCCCCTCTCCCCACCCCCATCCCGGCCCGCCCGCCCGCCCCCACCGCGGCCCCTTCATGGACAGGAACTACCCGAGCGCCGGCTTCGGGGACCCGCTCGGCGCCGGGGCGGGATGGAGCTACGAGAGATCAGCGAAAGCTAGGTAAGGAGGCCGGGGCCGCCTAGGGCCCGGGGCCCGGGACTCGGGGCAGGGCACGACGGGGCGGGCCGGCGCGGCCTGGACGGAGCGGGCTGAGCTGGGCAGGGGAGGGGAGGAGTCGGGGCCGGGCCGCGGCGGCGGGGTGCGGAGAGGAGGGGCGCCTGGAGTCCTGTGGCTGCCCCCCCAACACCCTCCCCCGTCCGAGGCCTGGCTGCTGCCTGTGCAGCAACTCCACCTCCTCCCCTTCCTCCCCCCTCTGTCCCCCCCACCTCGGGGCCCGTTGGAATGCAAGAAAATGCAAAAAAAGGGGGGCAAAGGCCTCCCCCCCTCCTTCAGTGAAAGAGAGAGAGGGAGTGCCGACCCCAAAGTCTGCCTGGGCCCCTTCCCGCTCCCCCGCCCCAGTCCTATTGTTCGTCCCGCTGTTCGAGGCACCCCTCACCCCATCCCCAGCGGGTGGGACAGGGCAACTCCGCCCCCCCTTGAGGACCAGGAAGGGGTGAGCGCAGAGTGGGCAGGCAGGTCTCTGGACACCCCCCCCCTTCTTCCCTTGAGTAACTCCTCCATGCCCTCAGCTGAAGGGCCTGGACAATGGGGGGGGGATCAGACACCCCCTCTCCCCCAACACCTACGTATTCACACATTGGCAGGTTGGGCTTTAGGGTTTGCAGGCTCCAGTACCTGGGACCATGTTTACTCGTGGTATCCTAGCTGGTATTTACATGTGTGAGGATCCTTGCTCTGTGTTTACATGCGTGCCTGCTCTGCCCCTTTGCATACCTCCTCCTCAATATTCTTACCTGGTCTGTCTTCCTGTCTGCCTGGCCCAGGCACCACTTTCAGTGTTTTCTCCCAGCTGCTTTCTCTGTGTTTAGGAATTTGTGATCTGTCTGGGATTTTTCCCAATGAGGGGAGGCTCATGGTGGCCTATGGGGGCCACATGTTACTATCTCCACGTTTCTCTGGGCTGGAGGGCTTTGTGTCTATCTGCTGGATTCGTTGACCCTTACCTGGGGCTTGAGCTCTGTGTGTGGGTTTCACATTCAGTCCCTGGTTCCTTGAGCTGCTGATGGTGTCTCAAAGGGTCTGACTGTGACCACTCTTTGAATGGGGTTGGTCCCTTGGCCCATTCCCACTTCAGGTCTGAGTATTAAAGAGTGGGTGTGTTTGATGATGGTTACCAGTTTTTTTTTTCACCCATGTATGGGACCAAGTTTTGTCTGAGGTAGCAGTGCTATGTATGAGTGTGTAAGCTTCTCTTTGGAACACACGTGTCCCTGGGCAGCTCGCATGCATGTTTACTCAGAGCTTGGCCTGTCTGGGCCACCTGTGTGGTACCCCTTGGGTCTCACTTCCTTGGGTCTTCTGTGACCCTGGGACCAGTGAGGTGCCTGTAGCTTATAGGGAGCCAGCCTAGGAGGGTCTTTTTCTGTAGTTCCAGGGCCCAAGGTCTGGGTTGGGAGGGGATCTTGGTGGTCCCGTGATTCCTACCTCTGTGTGACAGTGGGTCCATTCCATTGTGTATCCAGAGGATAGGGACCCCAGGCCCTCCCCTCTGTTGTAGTCCTGCTGTTTACCAACCTGGAAATTTCTCAACCCCAGAGAGAGAAGCCCCAGTAGATACCCTTGGCCCTAAGGGGGTGGAATCAGGCTGGCCTGGTCTCTAATGCCTAGGATAACCTTCATGCCTCTTTCCCCCCTCCCCAGCTTGGTATATGGCGGCTCCAGGACTTCCCACCCGGAGACAGACATCTTACACCGCCAGGCTTATGCAGCCCCTCACCCGCTTCAGGGGTATGCCACCAATCACCACCCTGCAGGTAGGACTATGGGACCCAGATCCTGTGGAGTGGGAGCTCCTTGTGCTGGGCTCCTTGGCTGTGCTCCCCTCCCCACAGCCCAGCCTCCACTGCCTGCACTTCCTTGGCCTCTTCCCCCTAGCCTGCTATATTGGGCTCAGCCTCAGCCTGAGAGTCAGTCCCGGCTTTGACACTCTGTGTGACCTGGGACAAATCCTTACCTGTTCTGGGCTCCATTTCCTTCCTTTGCAAAGTGAGCTCCCCAAGATCTCTCTGACCTCCAGAATCTGATTGTGCACGCCTCCCTTACTGGCCGGATCTGCCCTCCCTGTAGTGCATTCTCACTGGTTTTTCTCATCAGAAAGTCAGTCTAAAGCTCCCTCCTTCAGGTTCCTTTCTTCCTTATCCAGCCTCCTTCCTGCCTCTCTCCCTGCTCCTTGGCCACGCCCCCTGCATCCTGGCCACGCCTCCTATTGCCTGGGGGCTGGTTCCCCTTCCTTCGGTGGTAGGGGCCAGGTTGGGCTGTCCTCACTTCATGGCCCTTCTGGTCCCAGGCTTCACCCTCCTGCCTGTGCCTCCCCAGGTCTCTCTGGCTTGTTTGACACGGGCCTCCACCATGCTGGTTCAGCTGGCCCAGATGCCTCAGTCATGAATCTGATCTCTGCCCTGGAGTCCCGGGCCCCCCAGCCAGGCCCGTCTGCTTCCTCTCTCCTGTCCCAGTTCCGAAGTCCATCCTGGCAGACAGGTAGCCTAGCCCAGCGTGGAAGGGGTGGTAGCTTGATGGGGAAGCTCGGGGTCCAGGGTGTGCCCGGCTTCCTGTCTAACCCTTGGCCCCTCTCCCCAGCCATGCACACACCTGGCCCCACGGAGCTGTTCATCTCGGGGGCCTTGCCCGGCTCGGGGACGTTCCCATCCTCCTCCGCTCTGTCTGCCTATCAGCACCCAGCTTCATTTGGGGGTCGCCCCTTCCCGGTGCCATCATCTCTAAGCCTCCAGGACCCACCCTTCAGCCCACCAGCCAATGGGCTTCTCTCACCACATGATGTCTTGCACCTGAAGCCTTCCCAGGCCCCGACCGTGCCCTCTTCACTGGGCTTCGAGAGGCTGGCAGGGGGTGGCGTCCTGGGGCCTGCCAGCCTGGGGCCTGCTCAGACTCCTCCCTACCGCCCAGGACCTCCTGAGCCTCCCCCTCCTCCCCGCCATCTCCCTGCTCAGTTTAACCTGCTGGCCTCCTCTTCTTCAGAGCAGTCTTCTCCCCAGCTGTACAACTTCTCTGGGGCTGCCCCACCGGGGCCCCCACCCGAGCGGGCCTTGCCCAGGCAAGACAGCGTCATCAAGCACTACCAGAGGCCGGCCAGTGCCCAGCCCCCCCCCCCCCCCCACCCCCCCAACGGCCCACTCCCTACAGCACTACCTGAGCTGTGGCGGCAGCTACCCGCCCCCAGCCATGGGTCACCGGGCCAGCCTGGCCTGTAGTCCTCTAGGGGGGGAGCCTTCCCCTGGAGCTGGAGAGGCAGCCAAGGGGGGGCAGGGGGCTGGCACAGGGAGTACGGGGGCTGGGGGCCGGGCAGCAGGCCCAGAAGCTGGGCCAGGGCCAGGGGGGCAGGGGGCTGGTGCGGCAGGGGGAGGCTACCGCCCCATCATTCAGTCACCTGGTTACAAGACAGCCAAGGGGGGTTATGGGACGGGGACGGGAACGGCACGGCCCCCCCCCTCCCGCTCCACAGCCACACCTAAGTGCCAGAGCCTGGGGGCTGGGGGCTATGCTGCTGGGACCGGGAAGCCCAGTGGAGCTGGCAGTGGGGGGGGCCAAGCTTACTCCCCAGGCCAGCCCCAGGGCCTCCTGGGTCCCCAGGCCTACAGCCAGGGTTTTGGTGCCAGCCAGGCCCAGGACCTGAGTAAGGGGCCTGGTTATACAGCAGGGCCTCCCCAGGCTCAGCCTGGTGGGCCCCCCCAGCAGCCTCCTCCCAGCCTGACCACCTGCCAAAGCTACTCCCCCGACCAGCTCCAGAGCCTTCCTTATGGGGTGCAGAGTGAAGGCTATCCTGGCCCTGCCCCCCACTCCCAGGGCCTGCCCACGGCTAGCCCCTCTCTCAGTTACAGCACTGGCCACTCTCCAGCCCTCTCAGGCCACGGTGGGGCCTGGGGCCACACACCGGCCTCCTTAGGTGGCGGTGGGGGTGGGGAAGCTAGTCCCTCCCACATCATCCGGCCGTTGCAGTCACCACCAGCCACGGGAGGAGGGCGGCCCCCGGGGGTGGCCAGCCCTGGTGCCCCTGGAAAGTACCTGAGTTCAGTGTTGGCCTCTCCGACCTTCCTGGGCCCCCCCGGTGGGGGTGCTGGCTACCCGGGGACAGGGGGAGCTGGGGGCTATAAGGGCAAAGGAGATGGGGGAGAGCTGCTGGGGGGACCGGGGAGTGGGGGCGCAGGGCAGCGCACCGAGGACGAGGACTTTCTCATCCAGCACTTGCTGCAGGCCCCCAGCCCGCCCCGGGGCTCAGGCCCTGAAGGCCTAGTGGGAGAGTGTGAAGAGCAGAGGGGCAGCGAGGGGCCTGGTGGCGGGGGCGGCCCTAAGGCTGCCGCTGCAGCCTACGACCTGGCCAAGGAGGAGCAGCAGCGCTATCACCTGCAGAGCGTGATCCGGACGAGCGCCAGCCTGGACGAGGGGGCTGCGCTCGAGCTGGGCCTGGGGCGGCTGAAGGACAAGAAGAAGTCTGCCAGCAGCGAGCGGGGTGGGGGCACCCCCGAGGCCCTGGCCACCTCGGTCGTCCACTACGGGGCAGGGGCCAAGGACCTGGGGGCTTACCTGCAGAAGACGCCTCCGCCACCTGCCCCAGCCCCGCCGCCGCCACCCTCCCACCACAACCTGCTCTTGGAGGGAGCCCCTGAACTTCCTCTTGTCCTGCCCCCACCTCCGCCTCCACCTCCACCCCAGCTCCTGCCTTCAGTGCTGAGCCATGCGCCCAGCCCCCCGGCTCCCCCCTCCGCTCCTCCGCCCCGCAAAGTGGGTGTGCACCTCCTAGAGCCGCCACCTCGGGACACCGGACCTCTCCAACTGGAGGCCCACCTGCGGGGGCCGCCTGGCCTTGAAGCATCCCCCAGCCCCCGGCTGCGTGCGGATGAGGGCCTGGAGGCCCCCGGAGCCATGCAGGACCTGCTGGGCGCCTTGGAGCCCCTGCCCGCGCCCCCTGCCGAGGCGGGCGGCCCTCAGCCTGGGGAGGCCAAGGACCCGGCAGGAGCCTACCGCAGCCCCAGCCCGCAGGGGCCCAAGGCGCCACGCTTCGTGCCCTTGACGTCCATCTGCTTCCCGGACTCGCTGCTGCAGGACGAGGAGCGCAGCTTTTTCCCCACCATGGAGGAGATGTTTGGTGGTGGAAGCGGCGATGATTACCCCAAGGCAGGGCCCCCGGAGGATGAGGCCGATCCCAAGGGCAGTGGCAGTGGCAGCGGAGCCGCCCCCCCGGGGCCTCCAGCCTATGATCCCTATGGCCCCTACTGCCCTGGCGGACCAGCGAGTGGGGGGCCCGAGCCACCCGGACTGGGCTTGGACCCTGGCAAGACCCCTGTTGAGCTGCCGTCCACAGTTAACACAGAGCCCCTGGGCCTGATCCAGGCCGGGCAGCACCAGCCTCCCCCACCTCCGCCGCCCCCCCCACCCCCACCCCCTGAGCCCAAGGGCGGCCTTACCTCACCCATCTTCTGCTCATCCAAGCCCAAGAAGCTGCTGAAGACCTCGTCTTTCCACCTGCTGCGGCGGCGGGACCCTCCCTTCCAGACCCCCAAGAAGCTGTATGCGCAGGAGTACGAGTTTGAGGCTGATGAGGACAAGGCCGACGTGCCTGCTGACATCCGTCTCAACTCCCGTCGCCTCCCCGACCTGCTGCCAGACCTTGTGTCCAGCTGCCGTTCACGCCCGGCCCTTTCACCCCTGGGGGATATTGACTTCTGTCCGCCAGCCCCTGGCCCTACCGGGCCCCGGCGCCGGGGAAGGAAGCCCACTAAAGCCAAACGTGACGGCCCGCCTCGGCCCCGGGGACGGCCCCGCATCCGGCCCCTGGCCGAACCTCCTCCTGGGCCCCAGCTGGGTCCCCATGCTCCCGGAGCCCAGGCAGATGGAGCCAGGAAGCCCCGGGGTCGGGGCCGAGGCCGGGGGAGGAAGGCGGATGAGCCCAGCACCGAGGGGCTGGAGCCCCTGAAGCCGCTCAAGGTGAAGGCCTCGGATGCCTCCCTTCCTGGGGAGTGTCTGGGGGGTAGCTGGGGGTGGCTAGGGAGATGGAATTTTGCAATAGCCCTACCATCTCTTCCAGATCAAATTGGCACTGCCCAAAGTGGGTGAGGGTGGCAGCCCTGTGGTAGGCGAGCCAGCATCTTCTGGCCCCATGGATGGCGGCCTGGACTCGAGCCAGACCCGGGAGAAGATCCAGGCGAAGATCAAGGAGGTGGAGGAGAAGCAGCCGGAGATGAAGTCGGGCTTCATGGCCTCTTTCCTGGACTTCCTCAAATCGGGCAAGAGACAGCAGCTGCCTTCGGGCTCGGGGCCGCCCCCCAGCCCTTCCAAGGCCGGGCCTGCCCGGACTTTGGGGCCACCCCCAGCTGTGGCCCCCCCACCCCCACCCCCACCGCCTGCCCCCACCTTTGGGCTCGGCGGGGCCCTGGAGGCCGCGGAGGGCGACGGCCTGGGCCTCGGCTGCCCCTCGCCCTGCAAGCGCCTGGACGAGGAGCTGAAGCGGAACCTGGAGACCCTGCCCTCCTTCTCCTCGGACGAGGAGGACTCGGTGGCCAAGAACCGCGACCTGCAGGCCAGCATCTCCTCTGCCATCTCAGCCCTGGATGATCCACCTGCCCCCAAAGACACCGGTCCGGCCGCCACCCCCGCCGCAGCCTCCAGCCCTGGTGAGGACCCTCATCAGGGAGCGTGGTGGCGGGTGGAGTGGGCCCAGAGGCTGGCCCTACCAGGGGTGAGGCTCCTGAGGGGAGGAGGGCCCGGAGCTGCAGCAGAGGGAGGTGTCCTAAGGGGCCTCTAAGGCCCTGAGCTGAGGGAACACAAGGGGCTTGGAGGCTACTCGACCCATCAGGAGCAGCTAGGATAGAGCGCTGGGCCTGGGTTGAGGAAGTCCTGAGTTCAAATGTGCCCTCAGCGGTGTGCCTCACCATGTGACTTGGCAAGTCACTTAACTGCTTGCCCAGGAGCTCAGGCTCCTGCCTCAATTTCCTCAGCTGTGAAACGGGGGTCATAATAGCACCTACTTCCCAGGGTCATTGTGAGGATGGAATGAGATCATATCTGTAAAGTGCTTAGCGCAGTGCCTGGCACTCATATAATAAATGTCTGTCTTCTTCCTTCCATCTAGGGGGGAGGAGAAAGGAGGGGTCATGGGGAAAGGCACAGCCTAGAGTCTGAAGAGTGTGCAGGCTTGCTTGGGGAGGGCCAGGGATGTGGGGCTGGGCCCTGGAGCTCCATGTTCTGAACAGGGCCACCGTCTGTCCTTGCTCCCTCAGAAGCCCCTGTCCTGGACGAGAAGCCGCCCCCGTCACCTGCTCCATCTTCTCCTCCCTCGCCCCCTTCCCCCCCCACCCCTGGTGCCCCCAGAGCCCTCCTCCCCACCCCCTCCACCACCACCGCCTCCGCCTCCTGCCATCCCTCCTGTGCCAATGCCACTGCCCCCTCCGCCAGAGGTGCCAGCCCTGGTTCCAGCCCCGGCCCCGTCCCCCGAGGAGCCAGAGCCCCCTGATGCTCGGCCCTTGCACTTAGCCAAGAAGCAGGAGACGGCGGCCGTGTGTGGTGAGACTGATGATGAAGCGGGGGAGAGTGGAGGTGAGGGCATCTTTCGTGAGAGGGACGAGTTTGTCATCCGGGCAGAGGACATCCCAGCCCTCAAGGTGAGTGGAGGAGGCTGTGGTGGGAGTGCCCTGCCTCAGGCCTCCCTGGTTACTGTAGTGACCTTGCCCAGCGTCGTTCCTGGCAGAACCTTAATTTCTTCTTATGAGATGGGGGTGAGGTATTGGATCGGCTGATCTCTGTGAGGCTTGCAGTCTTTTGTGTTTGAGGAGAAGCCGTGGGGGGCAGAAGGCTGAGCTCAGACTCTTCTTGGCCATGCCTCGTGGGCTTTTCAGCAAAGAATCCTGAGAATGGGTCCCTAGGATGGCTGGGCCCCACAGGAGGAAGGGAGAGGCTGGCTGCAGAGACCCAGCAGGGGTCCTCTGGTGTCCTGGCGGAGCAGATGGAGGCATGAGGCCTCACTGTTTGGGGTCAGAAGCTGGGTTGGGCTCCTGAGACAGGTATCAAGAGGAGGCTTGGATGAGGGCAGTGGCGGGGCTGCCAGCCCACTCATTTTAGTCAGAGAAAGGCTGAGGCCCACACTGGGGAAAGGACTTACCCTATGGTGTCCTGGGAGTGGAATGTGGCCCCAGAGCCTCTGACTCGAGACTCCGCCTTTGGCCTCTACATGGTGGCTTTGGCCTCTGCCTCTAGGGTTGGCAAGCTGGACTGGGGTACTTGTAAAGTGCCTAGCACAGCAGAGGGCCCATAGTAGGCCCTTAATCAGTGCAGGAGCCCAGGGTCCTCCAAAGAAAGGTTGGGTTCGAAGGGGATCTGAAGGTAGAGTCCAGAGGCCTCTGCCACGCCTGGAGTGCCATTGGGCCACCTGAGGGGCCCATCTCTGCCTGTCAGTTCTGAGGAGGATTGATCCCATCACGTCCTGAGCAGCCGAGAGTGGGGCAGGTGTCGTGAGGGCCCTGGGCTTCAGAACCTGAACTTGGGGGAGCTTGTCTGAAGCCAGGGAAGGAACTTGAAGGTGAGGGAGGAAGCCCCGAGTGCTGCCCGGCTGGAGAGGGGGCCACGCTGACACTGGGCCCTCCTCCTTGCAGCTGGCCCTGCAGACGGGCCGGGAGCCGCCCCCCATCTGGAGGGTTCAGAAGGCCCTTCTCCAGAAGTTCACCCCAGAGATCAAGGACGGACAGAGGCAGTTCTGCGCTACTAGCAATGTAAACCTGGTTGGGAGCATGCTGAACTTGGGGCACGTGGCCATCGGCTTGCTAGAGACAGGCAGGAGGGGGATGTGCAAAGGTGTGGGGCCCTGAGCCAGCTTGGGAGAGGCCCCAGCGGAGATCACGTGGAGGGAGCCCTAACTCTTCCTTCTATTCTCCGCCCCCCACTTTACCAGTACTTGGGTTATTTTGGGGATGCCAAGAACCGATACCAGCGTCTCTACGTGAAGTTTCTGGAGAATGTGAATAAGAAGGATTACGTGAGAGTCTGTGCGCGAAAGCCTTGGCATCGGCCCCCAGTCCCTGTCAGGTACTTGTGGGTAGGGCTGTGGAGGAAGGATTTGAATAGAGGGTGTTGGGAAAGAGGGTCCCTGGAAGAAGTGGGCAAAGGGTCTTGGGGTGTAGTTGAAAGATAGAAAGGAATCTGATTTTTGCCTCATCTTTCTTCTTGCTCAGGCGTCCAGGACAGCCAAAGGCTAGTCCAGCATCATCTGTGACAGTGGCCCCAGGGGGTGGGGTGTCCCTTCCCAAGCCCCCAGCTCCCCCTTCAAAGCCAGAGCCCCCCGAGAGGCCCCCTGAGAAGCCCCTGGAAAAGTCCCCTGAAAAGGTCCCAGAGAAGTCCCCTGAGAAGTCCCCGGAGCCGGCCCCAGAGAAACCATCTCCTCCAGCCCGCCCTCCTGACAAGGAGCGGGCCCTTCGGTCGGAGCGGGCCACTCGAGGGGAGCGGGGGCCCCGCCCTGGCCCCCCTGCAGTGGAGACAGCCCCAGCCAGGCCTCCACGCCCTCCAAAGGCCCGTCCAGCCAAGGTGAAGGCTGAGCCTCCCCCGAAGAAGAGGAAGAAGTGGCTGAAGGAGGCGAGTGAACGTTCGGCAGCGACCAGAGGCAGCTCCTCCGAGTCTGAGTCTTCCCCCGGGCCCCCCAGTGAGGATGGTGAGGGCCAGGCCGAGGTCCCTGAGCAAGGGGCCTGCCTTGGCACGGCTGGCGTGGCTGTGGGGGTGGGTGGCCTGGAGATCAGTAAAGCGCGTGCTTGGGGGTGGGGGCCTCGAGGTCGGTTGAGATTAGAGAGCAGAGCGCAGCTAGGTGGAGAGGAGGGGGCGGCCTGGTAGAAGGAGCTGTCCTTCCTTCCTTCCTGACAGAGCGGGCGGCCTCTGGGAGGCTTCTGAAGACTCGGGCCATGAGAGAGATGTACCGCAGCTATGTGGAGATGCTGGTGAGCACAGCCCTGGACCCTGACATGATCCAGGCCTTGGAGGACACCCACGGTGAGTGGACAGGGTCTCACCATTGGGGCTGTAGGCATGGGGCTTGCTACTGGCCCCAGGGGCCCAGGGCCAGCACACTTAGGGTCTTGAGATCTGTCTCTCCTCAGATGAGCTGTACCTGCCCCCGATGAGAAAGATTGATGGAATCCTCAATGAGCACAAGAAAAAAGTTCTCAAGCGCCTTTCCCTGAGCCCAGCCCTGCAGGTGCCTGAAGGGGTGGGGGTGGGGCCAGGGGCCTGGTATTGGTGACGCAGGCTGCCCTCAGGTCATGGGTCAGGGCCAGGGGCCAGGCCCAGGGGCCTGGTATTAGTGGCATAGGGTGCTGTCTGCCCGGGTCAGGGGTCCAGTGTTGGTGGCCCAGGCTGCCCTCTGACATAGCTCTTTTTCTCCCAGGATGCCCTGCACACCTTCCCCCAGCTGCAGGTAGAGCGTGGCAGTGGTGGGACTGGGGGAGCAGAGGGTGCCCCTGGGACAGGCTCTGGTGCCGTGCGGCTTCGGCCTGCGGGGGACCCATACAACCGGAAGACCCTGAGCAAACTGAAGAGAACTGTGGCCCGAGCGCAGGTACCTCCACTGGAGCCCAAGGTGGGAGGGGTCGAAGGCAGCCCAGGCTGGGCCTGCTTTGGTGCTCAGGCTTCCTCTGCCTTTTTCCCTGTCCTAGGAGTTCAAGGTGGAGCTGGACAAGTCAAGCTTCTACACGCTCTATCATGCTCTCCACCACTACAAATACCACACCTTCCTCCGCTGCAGGGACCAGGTAGCACTCCAGCCCTTCCTCTTCCCAGACCACTTGGGAGACCATCTCCCTGCCCCAGCTCCCCAGGGCCGTCTCCCCATCTCCATCCCTCTGGTAGCCCCATGGGTCCTGGCTGTGTGGCCTGCCCCAGCTCCCCGGGGCCGTCTCCCCATCTCCATCCCTCTGGTAGCCCCATGGGTCCTGGCTGTGTGGCCTGCCCCAGCTCCCCGGGGCCGTCTCCCCATCTCCATCCCTCTGGTAGCCCCGTGGGTCCTGGCTGTGTGGCCTGCCCCAGCTCCTCGGGGCCGTCTCCCCATCTCCATCCCTCTGGTAACCCTGTGCGTCCTGGCTGTGTGGCCTGCCCCACTACCAGGGTCCTCCAGCTGTTTGTCTGCTCTCCCCCATCTCCAGACGCTGGCCATCGAGGGAGGTGCTGATGACCTGGGGCAGGAAGAGGTGGTGCAGCAGTGCATGAGAAATCAGCCCTGGCTGGAACAGCTTTTTGATTCCTTCAGTGACCTCTTGGCTCAGGCCCAGGCCCAGGCCCAAGGCCGCTGCGTGTGACCCTGGGGGCCCACGAGTGTCCGATGTCAGGGTCACTGACTTGCCCTGCTGGGTTGTAGCCCCTCCCTGCCCCCTACCCCCTTTCACTGTACAGAGAAATTATTTATATATATATGTATAAATGTCTATTTAGTACCCTCCCTCCTTTGCCCTCCCCTCCTCTGCCCTCCCTCCATGTACATAATGTATAGGAGAAGTCTATGTATGGGTGGGGGGTCCAGGGAGCGCTCTCACTTCCAACCAAGACCTTTTCTTTAAGGGCCGTCCCCTGGCAGTGGGAGGCTGTGGTGGGTGGGGCAGGGGATCTCAGCTTGTTAATTATTTTTAATCTTATTTATTGTACATACCTTTGGGGAGGGGGAAGAGAAGGGGTCTTCACTCCGACCCCCCTCCTTTTCTACGTACAGCGCTTTGGGTCTGGTCCCTGGCCCAGCCCCAGCCCGCCTCGCTCCAGTTTCTGAGTGTTGTCTGAATGTGGTTCCATTTTTTATCAGTCTGTCCACCCCCCTCCCCCTCCCCAACCCCTTCCTCTATCCTGTTGTCTCTCACTCTGTCTTTCTCTTGGGGTTCTAAACAATTCACCTTGTATACACTGTGTACACAGAACCAGCCAGGCTCCGGAACAGCAACCACTTTATTTGCATGGGCTGGCCCTTGTGTGCCTCTGTCCTGCGCTGCGGTGGTGGGTGGAGGGTGGAGGGGACAATGCAGTTTCTAGAAACCCCTGGATGGGGGGGGGGTGCGTTTCCTATGATCCTATAAAAATGGGAGCTATCCTGATGCTGCTGAAGTAGGGAATGAGCTCCCCATCACTGGAGACCTCCAAAGGAATATGGGTGACCACTTGTTGGGGTTAGCTTTGGAGCCCCTGCCAAGCCTGAGGAGGCCACAGGCTCCTTCCTGCCCCCAGGAAGGAATGAAGTGCACAGGAGGGGGTAGGGGAGTTTGGAAGGGGGCAGGAGTTGTGGCCTGGACCTCCCTCCCTAGTGGGGCTAGAAGTGCCCAGCTACCCTCGGAGTAGGGGCAGACTCAGGGGCAGCAGTTGCCTGGGTAGGGGTTGGGTGGGAGGGCCCTTCCCTGTGCAATTGGAAACAGGAAGCAGTGCCAGCTAGTCATCCACCCCAGGGATTCTTGGGCCTGTTCTAAGTTTGGTCTTGGGTCCCTACCCTAGGAACTGATTGACACTCAGTCTGGTGTTGGCAGTGAGGTTTATTGAGAGGGGTGGCAGAGTATATACAATTGTGATTCTGAGGGAGAAAGGGAAGGGTATGCGCTGTGAGGAAGGCACTGGGTGACCCCATCCGAGGGGCCTGGTTGGTGTAGTGTAACTGGACATGGAGGGGCAGTGTGGGGGGGAGTGCTTCAGGGATTCCCCTGCACTCCTCCCTCCCCGATAGTTGATCCATGCCATTGGACAGGAGAGGTAACAGGCCCCATAGGGGGAAGGGCCCTGGACAGCAAGGCGGGTACAGAGCCATCTCCTGAGGTGCTGCTCCAGTCCCCAGGACGCAGGGGTTAAAGGAGGAGGCAGGGGCAACCACTGCCCCCAGCCTTCTTCCTAGGAGGGGTTGGGGGGCTGGGGGGCAGCTCCTGCTCCTGGTACTTCCTGTGGAGGGAGATCCTTTTTAGGGGAAGCAAGGTGGGGACTCGGAGTGGGCAGGTAGACCACAACTGGAATGGTGTGCTACTGCGAGTCCTGCCGGGCATGGACTTGGATGGGATGGGACACTGAGGCTTGGAGAACCAGACATGGGAACCTATGCTGTTTGTTCACTAGGCTGGGGGCAGGGGGAGGTGCTGAGGCCAATTCTCACCGGACAGCTCGAACCAGCTGTTCAAAAGCTTCATCCACGTTGAGCCGGAGTTTGGCTGACGCTTCAAAGTAGGCTATGTGGCGGGAGGCACAGAAGGCTGAGGCCTCAGAGCGGGGCACCTGGGGCAGTGGGGAGGACAGGGGCCTGAGCAGCCGCCCCCTGAGATCTGCCCTGCCCTGCCCTGCTCCCCACAGCGTCTGACCTGTCTCTGGGTCTCCAGATCAGCCTTGTTGCCCACCAGCACGATGGGGAAATCATCTCTGTCCTTGACACGGAGGATCTGAGTATGCAGCTTGTCTACCTCGTTAAAGCTGAAGCAAGGAGGGAAGATTGGGGGGGGGCCCAGGAAGAAGAGCTGAAGTTGGGCCCACTGCCCACCGACAAGACCAGCTCAATCTTTCTTCTGCAGGTGCCAAGGCTAGCCCACGTGCCACACTCCCCTTTGGCGCCAAGGCTAGCCCTTAGTCCTCCCCTCCTTCAGGTTCCAAAGCTGGCCCCTTGCAAGTGCAAGTACCAAAGCTAGCCCGGATATTCCTCTCATGCACCCTTTAGGGGGTGGGGCAGCCAGGTAGCTCACCTCTGCCGGTCATTGATAGCGTATACCAGCAGGAAGCCATGGCCGGCTCTCATGTATTGCTCCCTCATGGCCCCAAACTCCTCTTGCCCGGCGGTGTCTAGGACTGGGGAGGGGCAAAAAGGGATTGGGGGGCCCTACGCCTTCCTTCCAGCTCCCCCGCCCCGCCAGCCGCCCCTCTTCCTCACCTCCCCCCTCCCCAGTAATCCTCCTCCCCCTCACTGTCCAGCCGGGCCGGGATCCCATCCACACTGCACAGCTTGGTGTAGGAGTCTTCGATGGTTGGGTCGTAGTCAGACACGAAGTATGACTGCCAGCGAGGGGATGGGAAGTCAGACCCAGGGCGGCTCCTACTCCGACCCCAGCATTTGCCCCTCTTGGGTTTGAAGCTCTCCCCATCTCGGCCTCTCAGGGCACGGGGCTCGCCCTCTCCCCCTCGACCCCCGACCGCTGGAGTCTGTCTCTCGCCCTCTCCCATGTACATCCCGTCTGACTCTTCCCCTCCCCGAGGCCTGGCTGGTCCGGTCCAGTCCCTCCCTCCTTAGCCTGGGATTCAGCCAGATCCCGCTGTCTGCGCTGCCCGGAAGGGGGGAGCCCTCCCGCCTCCAGCTCCCGCTCCGGTTCCCGCCCTTCCTGCCCGGACCGCCTCCCCTCCCCCCCCCCCGGCCAGGGCCAAGGCCAAGGCCAGGAACGGGACTCGGGGGTGGGGTGGGGATGCGGTAGCGGGGCCCGAGCTGGGGGATGGCAGGGTCGGGGCCAGACGGTAGCAGGGACCCACGGCAGGGAGAGAGTGGTTTGTGTGGCACGTGTGCAGGAGGCGAGCACAGCCCTAGGGGAGGGGCTCCGGGGGGCGGGGCTCCCGGGGGACCCAGAGCAGGGGCCGTGGTCGCCTTGGTGGTGCCCGGGGAGGCGCCCTCCACTACCTGGATGAACTGGATAGTGAGCGCGCTCTTGCCCACGCCGCCGCCTCCCACGACGACCAGCTTATGCGTCTCCCCGGCTGGGGCCGGGGCCGGGGCCGAGAGGGCCGCCCCTGGACGGCCCCGCCCGCGCCCCTGCCCAGCTCCCGCTCCAGCCGCTGCCGCCGCTGCCACCCCGCTCATGTCGCCGGCCGCTGCCGCCGCCGCCGCCTCGGGGCCCAGGGAGGTGCCCGGCCCGACCCGGCTGGGGCGGAGCCATGCTAATGATGACACGGGGGCGGAGCCATGCTAATGAGCCTTAGGAGGGCGCTCTGGGCTAAGCTTCTAAGGTTCCAGGTGGAACGTCCAGACCCTGGGGGGGCGGGGCGACGCTATCGTGGTCCGCCAATGGGAGACAGAATGCTCCGGGCTATGTTAATGAGCTCGTGGAATTTCCTGGCCTGGGCGGAGCTCAGCTAAAGGGGGTCCTCCATTAGTCAGGGTTGGGGCGGTGTCCTGCCCGTGGAGGCGGGGATATGCAAATGCAAAGTTTCCTCTGGGCCAAGCTGAGAGGCACAGGGAATTGACTGGGGCCCGGGGGCGGGGCTTTTGCTAATATAGTCGGGGCTTCGCCCTGATTGGGTCCCAGGAGGCGGGTTTATGCGAATAAGGGGGCGGACTCTTGCTCTCGGCTGGGTCGTGAAGTCATCGCATTCCAAACTCATGAGCCCGGAGGCCAGGAGGAAGGGGCGCCGGGGTCCCTGTCCAAATATTTCAATCGTTCCCTACCTCCCTTATCTTACTGGATCTTACAGGAGGAAACGGAGGCCCAGAGAGGGAGGGCGAGCGGTTCGCCTGGCGTCGCCCCCTCAGTCCCATCAAATGATGTCATATTTGTAAAACGCTTAGTAAATACTTGTTCCCTTCATCCCTCCCTTCCCCCCTCCCATCTTTTATCAAGTCTAGATCTTCTAGAATGGGGCTCCAGGCTCCCCGGAGAAAGGATGAGAGCCAAGGTTGAGTGAGGCGATGTACTTTGGTTCTGCTGCTCTCAGCCTCGACTGACTACAACTCCCGAAGGCCTTTGCCGCAGGCCTTTTCCTTCCGGCCGCGCGCAGAGCAATGTGGGGTCGGATTGGAGGCGGGGGGAGGCGCGCTCGACATTGCCAGCCCCACCTACTTTCCTCCCTTCCTCCCTCCCTAGCTTGGCTCGGCCTTGCCCCGCTTCCGCGCGACAGGGAACTACGCCTCCCGGCGGGACCCGCGTGCCACCGCGCTGCTCACCGGGAAGCGCAGTTCCCTAGCCGGCAGCCGTGGGCGGGCGGCGCTTCTGCCGGACTGCATCTCCCGGCGTGCCCCGAGGCGGCGCGCGCCCGGCCCCGCCCCACCCCGCCTTGCCCCGCCCGCGCCGGGGCCCTGAGCCGCAGCCGGAGGAGCCAGCGAGAGGAGATCGAGACGAGAGGAGAGAGAGGAGGCCGCGGAGCCAGGAGGAGGAGGAGGCGGAGGAGGAGAAGGAGGAGGAGGAGGAGAGGAGGAGGAGGAGGAGCGGCGGCGAGCGGGTGAGGGGCGGACGGACAGGGGAAAGGACGGACGGAGGGAGGGCCGGACGGGGAAGGGAGGGGAGCGCCGAGGCCCAGGCCGCCGCCGCCGCCGCCGCCGCCGCCGCCGCCGCCGCCGGGGTAAGATGGCCGCCCGGCTCAGGCCCCTGAGCGGAGCCGCGTCGCCGTCTACGCCGCCCGCCGGAGCTCGGCGGGAGGGGCTCACGGCCTGGGGCGCGGCCGGGGGACTCTTTTCTTGGGGGCCGCGCAGGGCCGGCGATCGTGGGCCCCGGCCTCGGTGGCAGGAGGGGCCGCTGTCCGAGCGGGACCCCCGGCATCCCAGGGAGCGCCCCAGGCCGGGTCCGTGCGGACGTGCTGCCGGACACCGGGAGGCGGGCGGAGCGGGCCGGGGTCTGCTGGGGGATGCCTGGTTGGAGCAGGGAGGGCCATCTTTGGGGTCGTTGGCCAGAGGGGCAGGGCTGCGACGTCCGTGGGGAAGGGACTGCCTGGCGGGGCCTGGGGCCGTCGGCTAGCACGGAGGGGGCGCACAGGTGTCATACGAGGGGCCAGGATGGAGGGCCCCGTCATAGGGGGGGCCCACGGCCCCCAGATTTTACCGGTGGGGGCGGGGGCAGCAGAAGGGCCTTGGCGCGGCCCTTCCCATTCTTGACATCGGCTGAGAGAGGAGAGGTGAATCGCCAGGAGGATCTTTGAGAAGTCATCTGTTTAATCCACCCCCAAACCAACCCCCCTCCCCAAACATATAGAGGAGCAAATAAGGCTTAAATGAGGGCAGGGATTTATCCAAAGCCACCCTTCAAATTGGGGCTAGTTGGACCTCAGCCAAAGCCTAGCCTTCTGCTCCCCAGCCCAGCGTCAGTGTTTTTTTGGTTCTGGATGGGGTCTTTGCAACCTGCTGGGGTTGGGGGGGGGGCTGCTTTCTAGGGGAAGACTGAGCTTCTGGAGGGTAGAGCTTATAAATGGAGAAGGGGATGGCTAGGCGTGAGAGGGAATACAGGGTGGAGGGGAGCACAAGGGAAATGAGGGGGTGCCAGAGTGTGGAGGTCTTTATGAGAATCTGCGGAGGACCACTGTGACAGTATGGCAGTAAGAGAAAGGGTAGACTTCTATTTGAGTCTGGGTATCAGTGGATATTAGAGGTCTAACGAGGCCTGAGAAAGCTATATGAGGCGAGAGGGATCACCTGTGGCTGTCTGAGTAGGGTAAGGATCTCTATGGGAAGTAGTGGGGACCTTTGGGATTAGGAGAGGCATCTGCTGGTTGCGGTTGAGGAGTTAGGAATTCCTCTGAGGCCTGAATGTCAAGAGGGGGATGGGACACCAGGAATAAGAAATGAAGGGGACCTTGGGGCTGGGACCTTCTGTAGTGCCCAGAGTGAGCCTTGGGTGTTTGCTGCTAATCAGATGGCTTGAGAGTGGGCCCTAGGGACTGACTGGGGCAGGCAGGCAGGGAGCAAAGCAAAGGGTCTGCTTTCTTGGGGAGACCTGCCTGCACACTAGTCCCTCCGTTTCCCAGGTGACCATGGAGGATGAGGAGGAGCCGAGAGGCACCTCGGCTGAGGAGCCCCATGACGAGAGGAGAGAGATCCCTGGCCTGCCTGACAGAGACCCTACCCTGGCCCCCAGCGCAGGCCCCTTGCCGTCAGCCATCATCCTGGTGAGTGGGTTAAGCGTGGGTGTCTCCTGGGTGCCTGGGAAGAACGTGTCTGTGGGCCCAGACTTCTGAGTGTCTCTCTTTTTCCCCATTTCTCAGCGCGCTCTCCAGCAGGCAGTAGGGGGTTCGCTGCAAGGGGAGCTGACCAATGAGAAAGGTAGGGAGCATTTGGGGTTGTGGCTTGGGGTCCTCATTGCCCCTCTCCAGGCTTCTGCTGGCCCTTGCCTTGGCCCCCTGCCCCAATCTCTCTTTTTCTCCCTCCTATAGATGTCCCTCGAGCTCGGGGTCCCCGAAGGAAACGCTGTCGGAGCCCCAGAGCTGAGCTCTGCCTCAGGGGAGCAGGCGGGACTGATGCGGCTGCCGTGAGTTTGGGGGCTGGGTGGTGGCTCCTTGGGGCGCCCAGGGTCCCGGATGGCTTAAGGTTCTGGGCTGTTCCTTGAAGAGCTGGACTCCTCTGGTTACAGGTGGTGGACCTTGCTGCCCGCAGCTTTTTGGCTGGGCTCATGGGAGTTCTTGAGACCCCGGACTCCTGGATCCCAGGCCGGCTGGACCTCCCAGCTGCGGAGTGAGTGGTGTGACTGGAGGGAAAGTGGCAGCTGGGTGGGGCCAGGTGGGGCGAGCTTGGCCTTTGAGCCCTCGCTGTCATCCATACCCGTGCAGGGAGGAGCCCCCTGAGATGCTAGAGCTAGTGGCAGAGGTCCAGCTGGGAGACGGAGCTCCCCTCTCTCTACCCATCTCTCATCCACTCCACAGCAGCCGGGCCTGGCGGCTCAACAAGTCAGGTGACCAGGGTGGGGAGATGGGGAGCAGGCTGGGGGGGGGCCTGCTTTGGAGAGGCCGAGGCCTGTCATCCTCATGGCATCCCTTTACTTCCACCTCCCACAGGGTCTCTTCTGCAGCCTGGCTTCCTGGACCCTACCAGTGCCTCCTCCCGTCTCCCACTGCTGACCATGGGCACAGGAGACGGGGGGCCAGCCCCCCCGCCGGCCCCCTCCTCTACCTCCTCCTCTCCTTCATCCTCCCCACGGTCCTCATCGTCCTCCCCCCCCCCCCACCCCCTCCCACAGCTCCTCGCTATGACATCTATGACCCCTTCCACCCCACGGATGAGGCTTATTCCCCACCGCCTGCACCTGAGCAGAAATATGACCCCTTTGAGCCCACGGGCTCCAACCCTAGCTCCTCAGGGGGTACACCATCTCCTGGGGAAGAGGAGGAGGAAGAGGAGGAAGAGGAGGAGGAGGAAGAAGAAGAGGAAGAGGAGGAAGAAGAGGAAGAGGATGAGGAAGGTCTTTCGCACAGTATCAGTCGAATCTCTGAGACGCTGGCAGGCATCTATGACGATAACAGTCTGAGCCAGGATTTCCCCAGTGGGGAGAGCCCTGGGCCAGAGCCTCCACCCCCAGCAGGCTCTGGCTCCCCACCCCAGGCCGACTCAACCCGGGTGGAGGGTGGTCTCCCACGCCGACGGGTCTTTGTGGTGGGGGCTGAGGCAGAGGCTTCAAGAGGGGAGGGCAAGCTGTCCCTGGAGGTAGTTACCACTGGGGCCCCCTTCCCTCCAGCTGCCCCCACCTCTGGACTCTGAGATCGAGGAAGGGGAGATTGTGCAGCCAGAGGAAGAGCTGCGCTTTGCCCCCGTGGCACTGTTCCGTGGAGCTGGGGGCCGAGCACCCCGGCCTACCCCCCCTTCAGCTAGCGCTGCTGCCACCGCCCCAGCTGCCCCGCTGCCCCCTCCGCCAGCTCGGGGCCCCGAGGGCGACGACTTCCTTTCTTTGCATGCGGAGTCTGACGGGGAGGGGGCCCTGCAGGTGGACCTGGGTGACCCTGTCCCCACCGCGCCTCCTGCTACATCCTCCGACCCCCGTTGGACCGGCCTGGATCTTCGGCGCAAGATCCTAACCCAGCGGCGGGAGCGCTATCGGCAGCGGTCTCCCTCCCCAGCCACAGCCCCCGCCGCCCCGCCACAGCCGCCCAGGAAGAAGTCCAAGCGCGATCACAAGCGAGAGGCCAAGGAGACACCGGCCCCGCCAGCCCCAGCCAGCCCGCCGGCCCCTGTGGCCTGGGACCCCAAGAAGCACCGGTCACGGGAGCACAAGCCCAGCTCTCGGTCTTCGCGCCGCCGGTCGCGCTCCCGCTCCCCACGGCCACGGTCGTCCTGGTCTCCAGGCTCCGAGAGGAGGAGAGGGGGGCGCCGGTCCCGGTCCCGAGAGAAGCGGAGGAGGCCGGCGACGAAGGCCTTCCGCATCGCCCCTTCCGGCTTCCTCGTCCTCCAGGCGGGAGCGGCACCGGGCCAAGCATCGCAGCGAAGGCAGCGGCAAGAAGAAGAAGAAACGGTCTCGATCGAGGGGCGAGAAGCGGGGTGGGGGGGCCCCTGAAAAGGGGTCAGCGGCTGGGACGGAGAGGGAGAGCCGGCGTCGGGGTGCCGTGCCCCCGTCCATTCAGGACCTCACGGACCACGACCTTTTTTCCATCAAGCGGACCATCACAGTGGGCAGGGCCGAGAAGCCCACGTCCCGCTCGGCCTCCGTGGCTGGGAGCGGCCCTGCCCCAGCCTCGCCCCTGCCCAAGCGGGAGGTTCTCTATGACTCAGAAGGGCTGAGCTGCGAGGAAAGGGGAGGTGGGGGCGGGAAGGTGTCTAGTGAGAAGGAGCGCAAGCGGTCGGCAGCCCCAGCCCCTCGTGAGAAGGGGAGGAAGAAGACGGCCTCCTCGGAGGGGGCAGAGCGCGAGCGGGATAAAGGGTCCAAGAAGGCCCGGCCGTCCTCAGGCAAAGAAGCAGCCCCCAAGACTGCCAGCGGGGGCGGCGGGCGCAAGGTCAAGCTTCAGTCCAAGGTGGCGGTCCTGATCCGAGAGGGGGTCAGCAGCACGACCTCTGCCAAGGAGGTGGCCACAGCAACGGCCCCCAGCTCCATCGGGGGTCAAATTCAGCCGTGACCGCGAGAGCCGCTCTCCCTTCTTGAAAGCCGACGAGAAGGCATCTGGTGAGCCTGGCAAAGGGGTGGCCCCTGGAGGCCCCAAGCTCAAGAAGGCCAAAATCAAGGCTAAGGCTGGCCTCAAAAAGGTCAAGGGGTCAAAGGTGAAGACGAAAGGCACCAAAACTAAGAAGAAGAAGGCTGGTGGAAGCAGTGGCGGGGCGACCCTGAAGAAGTCCAAGGCTGACAGCTGCAGCCAGGCTGGACCCAAGGGAGCTGAGGAGACTTCTTGGTCAGGGGAGGAACGGGCCCCGGGCAAGCCCCCCAGTCCCCCTACCCCAAAGGCAGCCCCGCCGCCCCCAGCCCTCACACCCGACTCACAGACTGTGGACAGCAGCTGCAAGACACCTGACGTGTCCTTCTTGCCTGAGGAACCAGTTAGGGCCGGAGGCCGGGGTCGAGGCCGAGGAGACCAGGAAGATGGGGATGAGGAAGAGGAGGAGGAGGAAGAAGAAGAGGAGCAGCCTGGCACCACCACGGCCTCTGGGGGAGGAGCAGGAGCAGGAGCAGGAGGGGCAGGTGGTATTGGCACGGCCGAGGCTGCGCCAGAGGAGGGGCCCCCGACCCGGGCCCCCCCAGCCCCCAGTGCCCCCACCCCCCATGCCTTGGAATTTGCCAGCCGGGGTGGATTGTGCCACCAGCGGTGTGTTGGCCTGTGAGTCAGGGCTGATCTAGAGGGGAGTGGGGTTGGGGTGGTGCAGCAGGGAGGGAAGGGCCTAGGCATGCAGTAAGGAGAGTGTGGAAACAGTGAAAAAGGATCGGGGGGTGGCATGGGCACAGACCACTGGGGGAGACAAGGGCTGGTCACAGGCTCAGGGTGCTGATGAGCTGGGTCGACTTGGACTGGGCCTACCCTGACCCGTTATCTTCTCTGGCCTTTCTGTCTTCCTAGTGACTGCTCTGCTCTTCAAGATGGAGGAGGCCAATCTGGCCAGCCGGGCCAAAGCCCAGGAACTGATCCAGGCCACCAACCAGGTTGGGATCCAGCAGGGGGCTGAGAGTAGCTGGGGAGGCACTGAGGGGCTCTGAGCATCTACCTTCATCTTCACTCTCCCCACAGATCCTCGGCCATGCAAAGCCACCCTCAGCCCTGGGTGGGGCTCAGGCCCCAGGTGGCACTGTGCTGGGGCTACCCCCTGGGCCCTCAGGCTACCTGCTTCATGGTGGGGGCAGCATGGGGCTGCCTCTGGGTGGTTGCAGCTCCTCTCCCCCTTCACCTGGAGGCCTGGCTGGGGGCCCTGACCGCAGGGAAGGCAGCAGCAGCTCCGATGGGCGGATGGACACCGACAAAGTGAGTGCCACTGGAACGGGATGGCACCCAGGGAGGCTGAGGTGGCTGGTAGGGCCTCCCCTCCCCCCTGATCTGTTTCCTGTCCTAAGGCTGGGGGAGGATGAGACAAGCTAGCAGAACCCATGTTCTGAGGGAAGGAAGCAGGCCCATATTAGGGACTCGGGAGATCTGGGCCTGCTGGACAGAGCAAGGCCTGGGGATTCAGAGGGGGCAGGCAGCTTCCTATAGATAGTATCATTTGATTTGGGGCTTACAGGAAGCAGAAGGAGGGTGTTCCAAGGCTGAGGGACTGCCAGGGAAGATGCCCAGAGCTGGGAGGTGGAACAGCTAAGAGGCCGGGGACACTTTATTGAAGAGTATGTGTTGGGGATGAGGCCTAGGGGTACTGGAAAGGCAGGGGGGAGCTTCGCTCTAAAGGCCATCTGGAGGATTACCTTTGAACTTGGAAGCCACTGGGAACCACTGGAGTTTATGGAGTAGGGGGCAACATGGTCGGGCCTGTGCTTAAGGAAACTGTGACTGAATGGAGAATGAACTGCAGGCAGGCAGGCCCCCCCCCAGCAGCTGTTGCCATAGTCCAGGGGTGAGGGGATGAGGGTCAGCGCCAGGGGAGTGGCAGGGTCAGAGGAGAGAAGGGGCATGGTGGGGAGATTTTGCAGAGGAGAAATCGACAGACCCTGGCACCATGTTGGATCTGGGGGTGAGAGTGTAAGGAGCCTGGGATGACTCCTAGGCAGGAGCCTGAGGGACTGGCAGGGTGGCTGCCCTCCATAGTTGTGGGGAAGGTGGCGGAGGTGGGGTGGCTTAAGGGGAAAGAGAACAAGTTCAGTTTTGAATGTACTGAGATTGATGTCCTGTTTGAGATGTCTGAAAGTCACTTGGAGACTTGGGCTTGGGGGACAGCAGGTTTTGAAGCAGAAGAAAGTAGATTTGAGAATGATCAGCATAGAAATGGTAATTAAATCCATGGGAGCTAAGGTCCCCCAAGTGAGGTAGGACAGAGGGAAAAGGGCCCAAGGACAGACCCTGAGGGATGCCTATGGTGAGAGGGCCTGATCCGAAGGAGGCAGAGAGATGGGAGGAGAACGCTGGGGGGAGTGAGGGGGAAGGGAGAGAAAGAGAAGGAAAGCTAGGAGGGGGCGGAGGGGCAGGTTCCTCAAAGAGAGCAGATGGTGCCCCACAACATCCTGGGCTGCAGAGAACAGAAGACGACCTAGCCACTGGGTTTGTCAGGAAATGGTTGGTAGCGAGGGGCAGTGCCTGGGCTGGCTCTGGGCATCGCCCCCTGCTCTCCTGGTGACTCCCACCCTGGCCTGTCTGTGTCTCTCAGTACCTGAAAAAGCTGCATACACAGGAGCGGGCAGTGGAGGAAGTGAAGCTGGCCATCAAGCCCTACTACCAGAAAAAGGACATCACCAAGGAGGAGTACAAGGACATCCTAAGGAAGGCTGTGCACAAGGTGGGGCTGGAGAGACAGGCGGGGGGGAGGGATGGTGGGGAGGGAGGGACAGAGGCAGGCTCCCTGGGCCTGGATTGGCACTGACCATGACCTCACCACGGCCAGATCTGTCACAGCAAGAGTGGGGAAATCAACCCCCGTGAAGGTGAGCAACCTGGTCCGGGGCCTACGTCCAGCGCTACCGCTACTTTCGCAAGCACGGCCGCAAGCCTGGTGATCCCTCTGGGCCTTCTCGGCAGTCCAAGGAGCCTGCACCTCCTGACAAGTGTGGCCCGGTCCTGCCTGTGCCCCCGCTCTGAGCCCTGCCTGTCTGGGCCCTGACATATTTATGTCTCTCCTTCTTTCCCTCCTTGGCCACAGCTTCGTGGGATTGGGGGCGATGGGGGAGGGGACACGTCTGGCCCAGCTAGACTTCTCCCCGATGCCCCCAGGCCCACTTCTTCCCTCCTTGTGCCCTCTTCTCTCCAGCCCTAGTTAAGGATTTCATGAAATGTTACACCCTCCAGCTTTGCCTCTGGCCCCTTCTTTTTCTGGGGGTCACCCAGGGAGATGGGGAGGGCATTGGAGGCTGGAATTGAGCCTTGACCCTGGCTGTGCTTGGACTGTGGAGGAAGGAGAGGAACTTCTTTCTCCTGGGGCTGTGGTTATGGGCATTGCACATGGGGATGCTGGGGTAGCTGTCCCTTGTATCCCAAAACTCAGCTTTTGGAAGGGCTTCCAGGGCCTGAGGCATCCACCTCTGTGCCCCTTTGTAAAGCAGGAGTGCAGGCCAGGCCAGAGGCCAGCCCCCACTCAGAAAGGTGAGGGACTCGGAGGTGGGGAGTTGCCTCATTGTAGAGAAGAACAAAGATTTGGCCAAGGTCATACGTCAACTCAAGAGACCCATGTCAGCCCTTTTATTTTGCAGGCAGTGTACAGGCTCAGAGAAATGGGTAGCCAGGCACTGGATCTGGGCTGAGAGGAGGGGAGAGCTCAGCAGTGAGCCCCTGACTCCCACTGCATACTCTGGGCCAGCCCCTGCAGGTAGCCATGGAGGTGGGCAGGTGCCAGGGACAGGGAAACGCTGTCAGAGATGTGCAGGTCCACCTCCTCTTCTAGTGAGGATGCTCCTCCAGCCTGGGCCACCTCATGGAGTGCCCTCAGTGCAGTGGGCACCACCTAGAGAAAGAGAGAGTGGCTAAGAAGGGAGAGTCTCCCTCCCGATTGGAGGAGATGGCTGCTGTGCCAAGGGCTGCAGTCTTCTCCGTGGGTTCATTAGGATTCAACGCTTGAAGCTCCTGGAAAGCCCTCCCTTTGCCCAGTGGTCAGTTAGGCCTGGGCACAGAGCTAGAATTGAAACCCAGGCCCCAAGGCCAGAACCTCCTGTGCTGTCTGGTTTTTGTGGGCACAATGGTCTGAACACTGGTTCGCTCCCTAATTGGCACAGAGGAGGGCAGTTGTCTGATGTCACTTAAGTAACAGAGCCAGGGATTAAAGCTAGATTGCCCAACTCTGGGCCTTCACTGGCCAGTGGCAAGAGGGCCATCCCCTGGAATGTGGGTGTCCACCTCTGGGTCTGTTGGGGCACCTTGACTATGACAAGCTTCTTGGTCCATAGCTGTGAATTGGTGGGCCAAGATTCCCCTAGGCAGAACCAGAGAGTGTACTGGGGTGAGCGGTGACTGCCTTCCAGGAAGGAGATCAGGTCTGAGGGTACATAAAAGAGAAGGAGGATGCTCAAGGCAGGAGCGCTCACCTGGCCTGACCTGCCCAGCCAGCCCAGCCTAGCCCAGCCTCACCATTCACAAACTCTGGAATGTAGCAGACTTGCTGGCCGTCTTTTTCCTTGGTCACTTCCCTCCCTGTGGCCCCAGGGGATGCCTGCTCTCCCAGGGACCAGTAGGCCCCACAGTGGCCCAAGCGCTGGGCCCTGAATTCAGTCTGGGAGTTCCACAGGGCCAGCCCAGCCCCAAGGCTGCCCAGCACCCTGCTGACGTAATATGCCGTCCGCTGGTCAGTGAGGGTACTGCTGGGCTCAGGCAGGGCTAGTGATGTGCCGTCCAGCTCCATCCAGGTCTCGGCCCCAGGTCCTGGCCCTACCAACCTGAGGCCTTTGAGGCAAGACAGGCATTTCTGAAGGACTTGGCGACCCCGGTAGAAGGCTGTCACTTCGTACTCGGTTTCTGAAGACAGATGGATAGATCTGAAGATCCCAGACATCCAAAAGACACCCCACTTCCCTCCCTTGCAGAGCAAGACCTCTTACTTCCAGCTAGCTCGTACTCACGGAAGCCACTGGCAAAAATCGGCATTAAGGGGTTGCAGGACAAGGCTGGTTCTGGTGTCTGGGGAAGCTGCTCCAGGAGAGAGTTGGGGTTGAAGTCTAAGGGATGGAGCAAAAGAGGTGGCTCAGATGGGGATGGACAGTGCATGAGCCCATGGGGGCAGCTGCTATAGCCTACCTCCTTGGAATTGCTGCTGCTGCGTGGACAGCGTCAGGGCCTCCAGGATCTCCTGGATGGTCTCTTCCTGCAAAGGTGGGGGGAACATGGATGTGGTACCGTGGACAGCGTCTGTGTCCCCACCTCTGCCACCGGCACCGCAGGCCAAGCAGGGCCCTCACCTGGTCCCCGTGCTCGGCAGCCCGGCCGGTGTCGCAGCCCTCCCCGTCCTCTGGCAAGAACTCGTAGATCTTGTGCGGGTTCTGAGTGTCCCGACTGTGGTTGCTGACCATGCGCAGGTTCTGCTTGCGGTCTAGGGCTGCCCGAAAATTCCGCTTCCACGCGGCTGGGTCCGGCACATCGATACCAGGCCGATAGCTGCCGCTGGCCTCTGCCCATGCCTGCCAGGCCCAGGCGGGCATGGGACCCGTGGCTAAGTCCAGCTTCCCCCTGCCCCCTGCCCACCTCCCAGAGGGCAGGGCCACGTCCCTCCCACCCCAGGGAAGTCAGGCCAAGCCCCCCACCCCAGTGGGAGGTCAGGCCACGCCCTCGTACAGCGCCAGGGGCCTCGCACCTGGAAGATGCGGAAATCCTCTTGCTGCAGGTCCTGGCGGAGCCCGTGTTTCCACGGGATGGAGAAGCGCTTGTGCTCCGCATCGATCCAGGTCGCGCCCAGCAGCCCCGAGTCCAGCTGCTCCCGCAGCCAGGGCAGGATCCGCGGCTTGGTCTTGTTGGCCATGACCCAGCTGGGCTGCGGGGGCATTCAGGAAGCTGGAGGCTATTGTGGGCGAGAGGCCTGGGGGAGTGTAGCCCTGCCTCAAAGGCGGGGGTGGGGTGGGGGGGGTGGGGCAGGCTTCGGGCCGGGGAGGATGGGGGATTGGTGAGCGAGTCCCAGGAAGTGGAGATGCCTGGGCCCATTCTGTGGATCTGGAAACTGAGGCCATTAGCAGCGCTGCGTACGGCTCCCAGTGTCCTACCGCCTAAAAGCACGCTGACTCGTCCCCACCCCCATCCCCAGTCCTTCCGCGTTACCTATTTCCAGGCAGGGGGACTTAGGCACCAAAGGTTACTCCTTCCTGCTTAGGCCTATGCTCCCAGCTCCATCCCTCCCCCCCAGGAATCAACCCAACCAGCAGGCAGGCCGGGAGAGACGATATGGAAATGATGCCCCGCCCCTGGCCCAGTGCGGCTCCGTACAAGGATTCTGGCAAGTTGAAACTGAAGTTTAAAAAGCATGGGGTTGGGTGCAGGAAGTTCCGAGAGGCTCCGCCCCCCTGGCAGCAAGGTCTCAGGAAACTACGTTTCCCATTGACCTTTGCGCGCCTGGAAGCGCGTTCCTCGAAGCGGGGGGCCCTAGAGCTTGCTTGGGAGTTGTAGTTTTTTGTCCGATACCTCGACGCGGAGAATGCCTCCCACACCCCTTCCTTGCAAGACCTAGGCTTGCCACGTCCGCTGACTTGGCCCGAGACGGGCACTTAGCAGGCCAGGCTCCGCGAGAACCCATTCCAGGTGCCTTCCTGAGCCGGGCCCAGGAGGAAAGGGTGCTAGGGCCGTAATTGGGAGCAGTGCGGTTGGACACTCTTGGCCATCTCCCGACGGCCTTCGGCTCTCTCTCTGCCTTGCTCTGGGTCCCCCACGTTTTTACACCCTTCTGGCTATCTAGCTGCCATCCCGCAGGATCTCTTTCCGGGTCTCCGCTTCCCCAGTCCCCTTCTGTCTCTCCGGGTCTATGTTTCTCCGAGGCTTTGTAGACCGCCACCGCTCCCCCCCCCCCCTTCGTTCCCCTCTGTATTTCTGTGTCTGCCCCCTTTGGAGCCTATCGTTCCCGAGTTCTTCTGATCTCCCCCCAACCCCGCCTCGATTTCGGTTCTCCAGGGCTGAGATGCGCGGCCGAATAACAGCACAACCCACGCAGCCCGGGAATTCGTGCGTGCCGCTGATTGGTATGGGCAGGACCAATGGGTGGGGCTAGTGCCTGAACTGGGCACTCTCCCGGGGTTGATTGGCAAGGGGCGTATCCCGGGCGGAGTCCCGGCTGCCAGAAGGCTTGGAGCACTACCGCCTCCTACTGTCCAGTCGAGACCAATGGGCTGCAGCGTTTTACCGGAGCGCTCCCACCCCGCCGCCTTTGGCTCCTTCAAGCCAATCAGAGGAGCTACTGGGCGATGCGCGGGGGAAGGCATGCGCAGTGCCGCAGGTCAGTGAGCGCATCGACACGGTGGGGCGGGGCGACGGTGAGATGGGGCAATGGGTTGCTCTGCCTGCGCAGGGTCCGCCGAGAAGGTGACGAGGGGCGGCGTTAGCATTACGCATATCCAATGAGAACACTTAACGTAAAGATGGGCGGGTGAGTTGTCCAATCGAGACTGCGGGGGAGGTGGTGCCCACGGCGGGCAGGGGGCGGTGCGTTCGCCAAAAGGAGGCCCCGGGGGAGCCGCGGGCGGGGGGCGAGTTGGGGGGAGAGAAGATGGCGGCGGCAGCCGAGGCCACGAACTGCATCATGGAGGTGAGCAGGGCCGGGTGGCGGCGGTGGTTGCGGCGGCGGCGGCGGCGGCGGCAGCAGCTGTAGTTGGGGGCTTTTTCGAAGGCTGCGGCGATCGGCGTCTGAGGCTACTAGGGGGCAATCTGGGAGGGCGGCGTGGAGGCGGCGACGGCGGTAGAAGGAGATAGGAAGGAAGCTTTGCGGGGTCTCCTCTCCTCCACCCAACGCCGGCCACCTAGCCCGGCATCTCCAAGCACGTTGAGGATCGGAGTGCAGGGGAGGCCTCGCAAGGCGGCTAGGGGCTCAGGGGTGGGTGGGGGGACCACGTGGGGCTCGGGGGGGACCGGGCACCACTTCCGGTCCGAGCGCCACTTCCTTCCCCCCGAGCCCCACGTGGCCCCCGTCGGCGTGACTGGGGGCCTGCGATTGTGGCCCCCGGGATAACAAAGGACTGGAGGGCTTCCCAGAGGAGGGGGCGGTGCCGGGACCCCCGGGAGTCTCGAGGGATGGGCTGAGGGGAGCGGGAATGGAGATGTCCAAGCGCAGACAAGAGCCCGGGGCTCAAGGGGGCGGCGGGGGTCTTGGCTCTGGGAGGAGGGAGCGGGGGCCGGGGGCTGCTCTGGCCCCGGTCCTGCCAGCTCGCAGGGGGGTGGGTGGGCTGTGACCGCGCAGGAACACGCTGAGGTCACGGCCACCAGGACGGGCTATTCCTGGTGCTCGGGCTGCGCAGGCGCTCCCGGAGGGGGGGGCGGCGCCGGCCGGCCGGTGGCTGTCTCGCAGCTGTCTGTGTTAGTCTGCCGAGGGAGGGGGCTGGGATGGAGTAGAGAGAAGGCCCCAGGGAGTCAGCATCGCTGAAGGGCTTTTGCCCGGGTTATCTGCAGCCGCAGCTGGGGCTGGGGGGGACCCCTCTCCCCCTGCCCCTCCCCACTTGTTCCCCAGAGTCCCTGAGCCAGGCCCCCCCCCCCCGGGAGCTAACCGTCTCTCCCTGTTACTCTCTCCTAGAGTTTTGTGGCCACCTTGGCTAATGGGATGAGCCTCCAGCCTCCACTTGAAGAAGTAAATATCCTTTTGTGAGCCTCCCCTCCTCTCCCCAACCCGGGTCCCCCTTTCGTTGTGACCTTGGGGAAAGGCACTTTTCTCCATGCCTCAGTTTCCCCTCTGTAAGCTAAAGGGCTGTGTGGACCAGAAGGTTTTTAAGCACTTTCTCTGGCTCAGCCAAAGTCTACCACGAGGCATATTCTTGCTGTGTAGCCACTGCCCCTCTTTGACCCTGGTCAAGGCCCTTCCCCTTTCTGGGCCATAAACCGAGGCAGTTGGAACATTGGCTCTAATCCCATCTTTTGGCTCAAAAGAATCCTGGGGAGGATTTTCCTCTAGGACGCCAAGGGACTGTGCTGGGTGACAGTTGCATAACTGGTCCACTTGGCGGGCCCCTTAAGAATGAGAAGGAGGCAGCCTTTGTTTCCTTTCTCCCTGGTAACATGAGGGAGATGCATCCCAGCTGAGGGTCCTCCTCCAAACCCTGGCCTCTGGTGGCTGCTCTGCCCCTGGGCCTGGGTTCTCCCCTCTCTGACATAAAAGGCTAGACTTGCAGCCCAACCCAGCATCTAGACTTTGACATCTTAGGAAACAGGTCCAACGTAACCTCGGGCAAACGACTTTGTCCTCCGTTTTCCAGCACCCAGCCTCTCTTTAAAAAGGGGGCGGTTCAGCTGCAACATCTTGAATCGCCCTGATATTGCAGGGTCCTTGGAAGGCTCACTCTCTTGCCTAGAACAGTGTTATGTCTCTTCCTCTCAAAGCCCAGGCAAAATCTTCCTTAACTCTGCCTCCAGCAGCCCCCTTTCCCAAATCTGCACCCCTCCCCCATTCCCCAGACCTTAAGTGTTACCAGTGTTCCCCCCCAACCCCCGGCTGTGGGCTGAGCTAGAGATTGGAGAGGTATCAAGGGGCCTCTGGGGGGAAACTGAGGCAGGGATTTGGGGGGGGGGATGGAGATGGGGAGCCTGGAATGGGAGAGGGAGAGAGTCCCTGGGGCTGAGGAGGGGGTAGCCTTGAGGACTATTTAGGAAAGATGGTGGCATCCCTCCCCCAAAAAGTGACCCCCTTGTCCCTAACCCAGGTGTCCTGTGCACAGCCCGAGAGCAGTGAGAAGCCCAACGCGGAGGACATGACGTCCAAGGATTATTATTTCGACTCCTACGCCCACTTTGGCATCCATGAGGTGAGGGCGGCTCCCCCCTGTGGCAGGCATGTCCTCAGCCCAGGGAACGAGCTGCGCTCTGGTCAGCCTGGAGGCCTCTGGGCACGCAAGCGTCCTGCTCTCTGCTGCTCTCTTGTGGCAGGCTGCCTGCGGGGCCCCGGAGGGTGACGCAGGCAAGCCTGGATCGCAGCCTCTTCTCTCCTCTGCAGGAGATGCTCAAGGACGAGGTGCGGACGCTCACTTACCGCAATTCCATGTTCCACAACCGGCACTTGTTCAAGGACAAGGTGGTGCTGGACGTGGGCTCGGGCACCGGCATCCTCTGCATGTTTGCCGCCAAAGCTGGGGCCCGGAAGGTCATTGGGGTGAGTTGGGGGCTCAGTGGGCTGGGTGGTGCCAGCAGAGGGAGGGGGCAGCCCGGGCGGCCCCTGACCCTGCTGCTGCTTCTTCGCCAGATTGAGTGTTCTAGCATCTCGGACTATGCGGTCAAGATTGTCAAGGCCAACAAGCTTGACCACGGTGAGCAGCTGGGCTCCTGGGGAGGGGCTGGGGGCTTGCAGTGGCTGGCTGCCCCAGGGTGCTGAGCGCTGGCCTTGTCCTGCCCACAGTGGTGACCATCATCAAAGGGAAGGTGGAGGAGGTGGAGCTGCCCGTAGACAAGGTGGACGTGATCATCAGCGAGTGGATGGGCTACTGCCTCTTCTATGAATCCATGCTCAACACTGTCTTACATGCCCGAGACAAGTGGCTGGTGAGGCCCCTTGGACACCCCCGCCCCTTGGGCCCTGCTCCCACCTGCAGACCCTGCTGCCTTCTCACTCTCTGCCCCTTCCTCATCCTTGCAGGCCCCCGATGGGCTCATCTTCCCTGACCGGGCAACACTGTACGTGACGGCCATCGAGGACCGGCAGTACAAAGACTATAAGATTCACTGTGAGTGTGGGGGGATGGGCTAGGTATATGGGTGGAAGGAGGGGGTGGAGTCCCTCTGGGTCAGGGCGGCACGGCTCTTCTGTCCCTCAGGGTGGGAGAACGTCTACGGCTTTGACATGTCCTGCATCAAGGACGTTGCCATCAAGGAGCCTCTCGTGGACGTGGTGGACCCCAAGCAGCTGGTGACTAATGCCTGTTTGATCAAGGTATGACCACGTTCCGGGTCAGGGTTATTGGTTCTGAGCTGAGGTCACTTAATCCAATGGCCTCAAGGGGAAACTGAGGCCCTGAGAAGTTGTCCTGGGTCGGGGGTGTCAGAGCCAGGTGTTCCTTGTTCCGCATTGTCCCCCACGCGGCCTGCCTCCTCTGGGCCCCGGGACAGGCTGAGTGTCTGGAGCTCAGTGTCCCCTCGGGGCCTCCTGGGCTGGGAGCCGTGGGGAAGGCGTGACCACGTGTTGCGTCCCTCCCAGGAGGTGGACATCTACACAGTGCGCGTGGACGACCTGACCTTCACCTCGCCCTTCTGTCTGCAAGTGAAGAGGAATGATTATGTCCACGCCCTGGTCGCCTACTTCAACATCGAGTTCACCCGTTGCCACAAGCGCACGGGCTTCTCCACAAGTGAGCCCTGGCCGAGGGCAGGGGCCCCACGTGAGGGGAGAGGCATTAGGATGGCCTGGCTGCAGTGGGGTGGGATGGGGTGCCACTGAGGTGAGGCCCTGCTCCCCATCACCTGCGTGCTGATGCTTGGGTGGCTTGGGATTGGCATCTCAGTTACAGGCTGCCCCTGTCGGTGACTAGGGAAAGTTTGTTTGGTGGGTGTCCTGACTGTGAGAGGCTTCTGTAAGCAGCTGTAAGCTGTTGACCTTGGATTCCTTGGGACAGTGTGGGAATCCTTTTAAAAGGGAAAGGGGTGGAGTAGAGAACACGCAGAAAGGGGCACCTTGACTGCTAGCCATGGTGGACAAGCCTGTGTCCTTTATGAGGACTGGGTAACTAAGCTGGGCCGGGCTGGGGGTGCTGTGACCTCTCTGAAACTGCTTGGCTCCCTCTTGCCCAGGCCCTGAATCCCCTTATACGCACTGGAAGCAGACGGTCTTCTACATGGAGGATTACCTCACAGTGAAGACAGGCGAGGAGATCTTTGGCACCATTGGCATGCGGCCCAATGCCAAGAACAATGTAAGCATGTAGCAGAGGTCTGAGCCTAAGGCAGCCGAGAGCTGAAGATGTGGTCTGGCACCACGTTGGAGGGGAGGGCATTGGAAGGAAATGACAAATCCTGGGGTCGGGGTCTAGCTCCCGCGGGGTGCTTCAAGCTTCCCATTCTACGAAGGAGCAGCAGGCAGGCGTGGTCAGCAGAACTGTCTGGGCTGCCATGTGCCACAGAGGCCAGGCCCAGGATTGGAATTCGGATCTCTGCGTGAGCCCCCATTTCCTACCTGTGACCCTGTAGGGGGAGCTGGGGGCTGGGGGCTTGGGAGCTCCCTCCTTCCTTCCTCACACTTCACCTTCCCCCCTGCAGCGAGACCTCGACTTCACCATTGACCTGGACTTCAAAGGCCAGCTGTGTGAGCTCTCATGCTCCACTGACTACCGGATGCGCTGAGCTGGCCTCGTGGGCCATTGCTGTGGGCCCCGGCCCCAGCCGGCTCACCCGTTCCGGGCCTCCCCAGGGAGCCAGCCGCCACCCTCGGGGCCCAGAGGGCCAGCTTGATGGTTTGAGGGCCCCCTATAGCCCTTTCCCCTGTCCTCTGTCCTCCACCCCCAAGCCCTGGCTCCCTCCTGTGGGTGAGTGAGGGGCCCAGGGGCGACATCGTGACTGTGTTTTTTCATAACTTATGTTTTTATATGGTTGCATTCATGACAATAAATCGTCAGCTGGGATCTGGGGAGCAGACCTTGGGCTGGGCTGGGCATCAGGGAGGTCTGGGCTGGGTAGGCCAACACCTCCGTCTCCCCTGCACCCTTGGCTCCCACATCTCTGGGGTCCTCCTTACGATTCTTCTTCTGAAACCTCTCTCCCTGCTGGGGGTGGAGCTGCCTGGCCTGTGGCACCTGCTTCCTGAAGGCCCCTTTTCCTTCCTTCCCAGAAGAGGCCTCCAAGTCACCCAGCTCCCCTTGACTCATTGTTTTCTGAAGAAAATAGCCAGGGGTGGGAGTGGAGTGGGATGGGAGGACCTGGGCCGCCTCTGCCTGCCTGGGCTTTGTCTCAGCTTTCCAGGGAAGGAAGGTGCTTGGAGATCCAGCCATCCTCAGACAAAGAGCCTGGGCTTCCAGGAGCCTTGTGCCCCTTCCCCCACACCCCCAAAAAGGGAGCTTATCTACACTCACTTTATCCTTCCCCAGATGTGGCTCAGGGCTTTGTCTACACAAGGGTCCCCATCCTCCCCCACCACCAGCGCCACCATAGAGTCTTGTGAGCTGCATCTCGAGAAAACTTGAGTATTTTCACCTGTGTCAGTCTCTGACCTCATTGGGGTTTTTTGGGCAGAGGTACTTGCCGTTTCCTTCTCTGCCCCATTTTATAGGTGAGGCAATTGAAGCAAACAGGGTGAAGTGACTGACCCAGAGTCGCTAGATGAGGCTGAATTTGAAACTAGCCAGGGCCCTACTGTGCTACCTGGCTGCCCTCCAGAGAACTAGCAGAAGAACTTTGGGAGCCCTGCCAGGCTCTTTGAGGACCCAGATAAACCCTGGTGAACTCATTTCTAGGCTCTAGATCTGTTTCTAAATCTGTGAAGTGGGGGAAGGGTAGGTCAACGTGGCCCTTGTATCTATACCCAAATACCACCTTGGGGAGACTATGATCACAGGCGTCCCCAAATAGGGGGCCCATCCACACCTTCCTCCAGTGCCTGCTGCACTGCTGACCCTCCCTCCCTCCCCTGTAGATGCTTGGGGCACAGTGACTCCTGGCCCTTAGAAGGCCTCTCCAAGCCCTCGGACTCGGCACGGACCAGAACCTCCAAGGCCCGACTCTCTCACCCTTCTCTTCCCCAAGCTGGGGCTGGGTGAGATTCCCGCTGACTCCAAGCTGCGGAAGCGGGCCCGGGGAGGAAGAGAGCCGCAGTTCTAGACGGGGAAGGCAGGGGTCCCACGGCTCCACGGATGTGCCTGCTGGGCACCAGGTCGCTTCCGACATGGACAGCGAGTAAAAGCCTTACTCTGGGTGCCTGGGTCGGTCCCCCCCCCCCCCCCCCCGCGAGGTTGAGGCAGCAGGACCCGGAGAGACGGAGGGCGCACATGCGCGGGGAGTGTACAGGGGTTGGGGGAAGACGCTCCCCCCTGCGCGTGACGTGGGGGGGAAGGGGACTGCCGGACGCAGGCGCAGACAAAAGGGGGTGGGGGGAGAGCCCGGGATTCCACTGGCAGGAGGGGGGGGCTCCCCGCACGTCGGAGATCTCCAAGCGCAGTGAGTAGCGAGGCGATAGCTCCTGGAAAGAGCAGCTGGGGGCCAGGAGCTGGAGGAAGGGATGCCCGTGACCTAGGGGGCGGAAATTGGGGGAGAGGACCCCAAGATGCCGGGCTGTGGCTCGGTGCGGACACCTGGGACCTCTGAGGGCCCGGGGTCCCGGATCTCTAGGGCCTGGTGAGGGTGGGGAAGAGGCTGCACACCGGGGTCTCCATAACTCGGATCCCCGCCCCTCCTCCTCCTCCTTCCCCGGCTCTCAGCAGCCGAAGCCGCGGAGCATGCGCGGTGGACAAGCCGGACTTCTGGACCCTTTCTCTAGCCCCTTCCTAGCTCCGCCCCCTTGGTTTCCTAAAACTGCTAAATAGAGCGTTAACTGGCACCAGAATGGGGTGGGGTCCAAGCCGCCCCTGTCCCATTCCCGAAGCTGCGGGGGATGGGGGTGAGGCGTGGGCACTTGGGGTGCATAACCAGCTGCCTTCTGCGGGCCCCGAACTACATCTCCCGGCAGGCCATGCGATGGTCTGGCTACGATCAGCCCGTTCCATGGTCCCCATGGCTTCATGGGAGTTGTAGTCAAAGTTCCTGGGGGATGGGATGTTCCTGGGTCTGAGGAAGGGTGGGCGGGGGAGCGGGGTGCGGGGGGCGAGGGTCAATGCGTGGTCCCCTTTCCTGGGCCCCAGGGCACCATGGCTGAAGCCCGCCAGGCAGCGACCTTCCGCCTAGACCTGGGCCAGGGGACTCCCGGGCGGAGGTGGTGGAATCCAGCCTTGAAAGAGGTCGGCAGCGCCGGGCTGCGCTCCTGGAGGCGGAGCCTGGCCCAGTGCAAGGTAAGGGAAGGAGGGTGGGGCGCTGCCAGCTCTCTTGCGCACCCCCTCATCACCTGCTCAGTCCAGCGTCAGAGCACACCCCAGCATCATCCTGCCCTTCTTCCAGGGCCTGCCTGCCAGGATCTTTATGGGGTTTTGGTTGCTTGGATTCTAGCCCCGAGTGGCTCCGTGCCCCCAAGTCCCTGCTCAGGGCTTCTGAGCTCATCCCCCTGCTCCTAGAGGCCCTCGGGGCCTTCTTGCGGGTCCCCAGGATCCCATTCTGGGTTTACTGAACCCACTTTTGCAATCCCCAAGTCACTTCCAGCACCCCCCTCATACCCAGTTTTGAGACCTCCAAGCATGTATGTGGGAGCCGGCCCATGGCTTCTGTCCTGGTAGGATGACATCTTATCCGGAGCTTGCCCGGCTGGCTTGGCCAGCGGCCTCTTCCTCTTCGCTGCCATCCAGGGCTCACGATTCATGCAGCTGGACCCATCTTTGGGGCTGGTGGACTGGATCAAGGCCAGCCTCCCAGACTGGTGAGGCTCCCCAGCGTGCAGGGCCAGCCAGGCCCAAGTTTCCCTCCTGCCTGCCCCTAGTTTCTCTGGTAACTCTAGGCACCAGCCTGCCCCTTGGTGGTTCAGGGCAGGGCCCAGGCAGGGGTGGGGGTTGGGGGGGGAGTGCAGTGTGACGTGTAGACTTCTAAGCTCAGAATCCCGGCCATTGAGTCTGTTGGCCCAGGGGCTGAGCCCCAGCCTGGTCCCCTCTCCTCAGGGGTGTGCGCTGGCTCCCAGGCTTCCAAGGGGCTGTGGCGGCCACCATCTTCGCCGGGGGCCTCTGGACGGCCCTGCTGCTGACCCTGCATGTGGTACTGCGGCTCCTCCTACGCTACCAGGGCTGGCTGAGTGAGCCTCGGGGGACCCTGTCCTTGCCCACACGCTCCTGGCTGGTATGAGGAGCCTTGGGGCCCGGCTTTCCAGCCCTTGCGACCCCAGTTGGTCTCTGCTTTGTCTTGGGGGTGGGGGGGACCTGAAAGAAGGGGGAAAGGATCTGGGTCAGGGCCCGGTGCTTCCTGCCTCCTCCAGGCCCTGGTCAGGATCTTCTCCGGCCGCCGCCCGACACTCTACACATACCAACGCTCCCTGCCCCACCTACCCCTGCCCTCTACAGTGGGCACAGTGGCCAAGGTGGGCATAGCTGAGCTGGGATCCATCGCTGATACCCAAGAATCAGGGACTGTAGGAGTTAGGGGTGTGGGAACCCAGGGAGTCAGAGTTATGGGGACCCAGGAGTGTGGGAACCCAGGGATTCAGAGTTATGGGGACCCAGGGGTGCGTGGACTTGGGGACCCTGAGAGTCAAAAGTATGGGGACCCAGGGAGTCAGAGTTATGTGGACCCAGGGATGTGGGGACTTGGGGACCCTGAGAGTGAAAAGTATGGGGGCCCAGGGAGTCGGAGTTATGTGGACCCAGGGATGTGGGGACTTGGGGACCCTGAGAGTGAAAAGTATGGGGGCCCAGGGAGTCGGAGTTATGTGGACCCAGGGATGTGGGGACTTGGGGATTCTGAGAGTGAAAAGTATGGGGGCCCAGGGAGTCGGAGTTATGTGGACCCAGGGATGTGGGGACTTGGGGATTCTGAGAGTCAAAAGTATGGGGACCCAGGGAGCCAGAGTTATGGGGACCCAGGGTTCTAGGCTCAAAGGCTTGGGGACTCAGGAAATCAGGGACCCAAAGGATTAAGATCTTAGGGCCTCAGAGGCAGATGGCCACGGCGGGATACGTACCGTGTGCCCCCAGTACTTGGAGTCTGTGCGACCACTGCTGTCGGATGAGGATTTCCAGGCCCTGAGCAGCCAGGCCCAGGTGTTCCTCCACACAGAGGCCCCCCGGCTACAATCTCTTCTGGGCCTCAAGGCCTGGTGGGCCGCCAACTATGTGAGTGCCCTGTCTCCACAGCCCGGCGTGTCCCAACGTGGCACGAGGGGCTTGGCCACAGTCTGATCCAGCTCCCCTTCCCCAGGTGAGTGACTGGTGGGGAGAGTACGTCTACTTGCGGTCCCGAAGCCCCCTGCTGGGCAACAGCAACTTCTATATCTTGGTGAGTCCCCGGCACCCCTATCCCTGGCCAAATGGCCTGTGACCAAGCCCGGTTCTGTTTCTTGCGGCCAGTTTGCAAGCATCTTTTAAGGGGTTACTGCACACTAGCTTCTGGGGATACAAAAGGCACAAACAGGGGCTCTGCCCTCAAGGAGCTTCCATTCTGACGGGGAAGAGAAGGTTGAAGGGGCTGCATGTGTACAGTTCTAGACAGGCGGTCAGCTCAGAGGGAGGCGAGGGGGCCTGGGAACAGCCAGTGCACGGGTGTGCCTGCTGTAGCCTGCCCGTCTTCCCCACAGGACTTTCTGTCCGTGGCCCCCACTCCTCTTCAGGCTGCTAGAGCGGGGAACGCTGTGTACGCCATGATGAGATTCCGGGAGCAGCTTGGTCGCGGGGAGATCGAGCCCGTAAGAGGCTGGGCGGGGGCCTGACCCAGACCAGGGGTGACTCGGGAGCTGGGCCCTGGTTCATGCGGTTTCCTGCCTCCCCCGGTCCAGGCAACGCTGCTGGGGATGCGCCCGCTGTGCTCAGCCCAGTACCGACAGATGTTCAACACCACTCGGATCCCTGGCGTCTCCGGTGGTGAGAGATCCTGTGACCTGTGACCCCTGCCCTCCCCACAAGAGGCCCTGGTGACCTCGGAACGCCCTAGAGAAACGGATAGAGTGCTGGATTTGGAGTCAGGATGCCCTGGGTTCAAATCCTGCCTCTGCCATTTATGAGTACATATTGGGCGGCCGCTGGGTGCCCGGGCCTTGTGCTTGGGGCTGTGGGGACAAAGCCAGGCTGCTTTTCTAGGGGTCTCTGTAATGTCAGTGACAAGAAATGCCAGGGCCCCAGCAGATCACATGAGGGAATGCCAGTAAAAAACCCTCTATGACCTGTGTAAGGCCCTGTTTGGTCACTGATTTTCCCAAGACCCTGACATCATGTTGGCGCCTCCCCAGACCGGCTGTATCACGTCAGGGATGGCTGCAGCCGCCACGTGGTTGTCCTGCACCGGGGCCGCTTCTTCCGCCTGGGGACCCATGGGGGGCTAGGGGGCCACCTGCTGAGCCCCCGAGTGCTGGAGCAGCAGCTTCAGTACATACTGGATGACTCAGCCCCAGCCCAGCCCACAGAGGAGCACCTGGCTGCCCTGACGGCTGCCCCCAGGTTAGTGGGGCTCCTGGAGGGCCAAGGGCCACGGGGCTCAGGGGGTTCGGCGCCCCCTGACCCCAGCCCTGGCCCTGACAGGGCCCTATGGGCTCAGGCTCGGGCCTCCCTGCAGGCAGGGGACAGGAGCTCCAAGGCCCCATTGGAGGTGGTGGAAGGCGCTGCTTTCTTCGTATGCCTAGAGGAGACCCCGGGCCCCTCGCGTACGTCCCCTGAGCTGGATGAACGAGCACAGTCCGTGCTGGTGGGAACCGGCCACAGCAGGTGAGCCCTGCGTCCCAACCCCTGTCCAGGCCTGGGCCCCTTCCCTTCACCCTCACCCCTACCTCCCAGGCTTGGATCCACCCCCCCATCCCAGTCCGCAGAGCCCTTCCCCGATGCCCCAGGTCTCCTGCCCTCTCCCCTCCCAGACCCTCAGGGCCTCCTCCTCCCGTCCCTCTCCCCCTCCTCCACCCCAGCCTCAGCAGACACCTCTCTGTCAGGCCACTGCTGCTGCTGCCCCCACAGGTGGTTGGACAAGTCTCTGAATCTCGTGGTCTTTGCCAGTGGACACATGGGGCTGAACGTGGAGCACTCCTGGGCCGACACGCCTGTCCCTTCGCACATGTGGGAGGCACGGCTGCTGTGCCCGAGGCACCCCCGAGACCCCTGAGAGGCTCCCTGGAGATTGATGCCTCCCCCGCCAGAGATGGCCAGCCTCTGCAGGGGCCAGTCCCCGAGGGAAGCCCGGGGGTGAGGGGCCGGGGTCCCAGGGAATGGTGGCCTAAGGTGGGGTCCTGATGAGCCTCTCGCTTCCTCCCCCAGGCTATCCTGGCCGCTGAGTGCTTTGAGCTTGGCTACGCAGCTGATGGGCATTGCAGAGGGACTCCCAACCCCACAGTGGGACCACCGGAGCGGCTCCTGTGGATGCTGCCTGAGGAGGTGAGGGCTTGGCCAGTCAGCTGCAGCTGTGTGGGTCTGCGTCTCCCGCGTGGCTTTGGCCCCCCTCATGGTGGTCCCTGTCCTGGGCAGGTGGCCGCCTCCATCCCCCTGGCTCTGCGGGAGGCCCAGGCCTTGGCTAGAGACACCGACTGCCACATTCTCCCATTCACCCACTTTGGGAGAGGTTTCACCCGGCGCTGCCGTATCCCGGGAAGCAGCTTTGTGCAGCTGGCCTTGCAGCTGGCCAGATTTCGGGTCAGTACGCCAGGGAGAATGGGGAATGGGTTGGAGGGGACCGTGTGTGCATCTGCTAGTCTGCCATGGATGGTCACTGTGGGAACAGAGAGGGAAATGTAGACTAGTGGGGGCCATAAGGAGGTACATGTGGGCTGGCCAGTATCAACAGAGATGACGATCTGGCGGGAGAGGCAGGCAGTGTGTACCAGGAGGGTGACCTAGCTGGGCAGGCGGGCTGTGTATACCAAGAGGGTGATCTAGCTGGGGAGGCAGGCATTGTGGACCAGGAGGGTGATCTAGCTGGAGAGGAAGGCTGTGTAGACCAGGAGGACTATGTAATTGGGAAGGTAGGCATTGTAGACCAGGAGGGTGATCTAGCTGGGGAGGCAGGCAGTGTGGGCCAGGAGGGTATGGATGGGCTGGGCATCTGTGCCAGGGCCAACACCTCCCCTTGTTCCTGGACCACCAGGACCAAGGCAGCTTCTGTCTGACCTATGAGGCGTGTGTGACGAGATCATTTCACGAGGGCCGCACGGAGACCGTCCGGCCCTGCACAGTGGAAGCCTGTGCCTTTGTCAGAGCCATGGAGGACCCAAGGCTGACGGTAGGTGGCCTTCCTGTGCCTGCCCCCAGCGCTGTCCCCAGAGCCTGGGGGATGATGACTTCTGGTTGACCTCCCCCCCAGGATGCCCAGCGCCTAGCCCTCTTCCAAGTGGCAGCAGAGAAGCACTGGGCACTGTGTCGGGCGGCCCTGACCGGTGAGGGCGTCGATCGGCACCTATTCTGCCTGTATCTCGTCTCTCAGCTCCTCCGTCTCCCATCCCCGTTCTTGACCCAGGTCAGTGACCCCTGTCCTGGAGAAGAAGGAGGCACCTTGGGGAATGGGGAAAGACTTAGGGTCCCCTGGCCCACACCCTCCTTCCAAACCTTCCTTTCTAGGTTCGGGCCGAGCGATGGAAACTCTCCACCAGCCAGAGCGCAACGCACCAGCCGCAACTGTTTGATCCAGCCAGTCACCCAGATTATGTTTGCTGTGGGGGCGGCTTTGGGCCTGTGAGTGGTGCACAGGGGGACAGTCCCTGGATGCCCAAGGGGGGCAGAGGGGGGCCGGTGGTGGGCCTGCGGGGGGGTTCTGGGGGGGGACAGGCCCTGGATGCCCAGAGTGGGCAGAGGGGCAGTGGTGGGCCTGTCAGGGGCTCCCGGGAGGAGTGGGCCAGGGGTTGGGCAGTGGGGAGTACTGTGGCACTGGGGACTTTTCTCCTGCACCGGCCCCAGGCGGATGACGATGGCTACGGCGTCTCTTATGTCTTCATGGGGGAGAGCATGGTCACCTTCCACATCTCCTGCAGAGTCTCCAGCCCTGACACGGTTAGAGCCCGTGTCCTTCCCAGGCCTTGCAGGGGTTAGGAGGTGTCCAGCCTCCAGGCCCCTGGCCTTCCCTGCCCCCGCTCTCCCTCTTTGAGGATCTTCTGGAGCTTGCAGGGACCCTGGGGATCAAAGAGTGCAGTTATTTTGCAAATGAGGAAACTGAGGCCCAGAGAGCTTCAGTAGGCCCACCTGAGGTCCCATGAGTAGTAAGTGGCAGTGCCAGGGTTTTAACTCACTACCCCTGTGACATTTCATGCCAGGAGTCCTACACTCGGGCTTTCTGCCCTCCGCCCCTGGAGTGCCCTCAGACTTGTCCCTTTGGGAGCCCAGGCCTCTGTGTCCTTTCTTCGCAGGATTCCCGGCGGTTTGGGCAGCATATTCAGGATGCCATGCTGGATGTGGCCACACTCTTTGGCCTAGGTGCTGGGCCCAGCACAAGGGCCCGGCCAGGTGAGGCAGCCAGGGAGGCCTCCCGAGGGCCTGAGCCCCAGCAGGCACCCTCAGCTCCCCGTGATCTGGAATACTGAGGGAGCAGCTGCTCTTCACTGTGGGGGCCGGACAGACGGGCTCCTGGCAGGCCCCGGAGACGACTGAGAAGCAAAGCTGGCATCATGGCGTCTGGAATGGTGGGGGCCACAATCATGAGCTGAGCCCAGCCTTACCTGCCATCTGCTCATTGTCATCTGGTCCTGGTCCAGCTTCTTCTTCATCCTTAACTGATCTCAGCCCATCCTCTTCCCATGTCGTCATCCCTAATGTGAACTCTGATTCTTCTGATCGGCCCCCATTCTGATTGGCCCCCATCCCACCACCAGCCACAGCCCATCCACAGGCTGGAGTCAGCCACCACTTGACACTGTTCCGTAGGTGAGGGAACCCCAACCTTACTCCATTCTATAGGCTGGGATCAACTCCAACCTTACTCCATGCATGGGCTAAGGTCAACCTCAATTTTACCCCATTTTATAGGTTAAGGTCAACCTCAGTCTGACCCCATTCCATAGGAGAGAGTCAGCCTCAACCTTACTCCATTCTATAGACTAAGGTCAACCTCATCCTTATCCCATTCGATAGGCTGGGGTCATCTCCAACCTTATTCCATGCATAGGCTAAGGTCAACTCTAACCTTACCTCATTCCATACCAATGCTGACTCCATACCATAGGTTAAGGTCAATCTCAGTCTTACCCCATTCCATAAATTAAGGTCGACTTCAACCGTACCCCATTCCACAGGCTAAACCTCGCCCCAACCTTACCCTATTCCATAGGATAAACCCAGCCTCAACTCCAGCCGATCCATAGGCTAAGCTCAGCTCCAGCGATAGCCTTGAATGTAATCTGATCTCAGCCCAATCACAGGCCTTTCTCCATTCCAAGCACTCCTGAGCCCAGGCCAGAGTCTTCAACAACACCCCAACTTCAAGTCTGTGTCAGCCCATTCTAAATGCCTACCTTCACCCTTCGCTCACCATCAGCCCCAATGTCATCTGAAGCTGAGCCCCAAACTCATTCCAGTGTCTGCTCGGAGTCAAATTAAGTTCATCTCAGCCTACCTAGGGGCCAACCTCAGCCCTAACTGCATCAGAACATCCAGTTACCTACAGCCCAGCTTCAACCCAACCCTTAACTGAATTTGCCTAAGGAAGCCACTGTTAAGCACCCACTGTGTGCCAGGCAGTGTGTTTGAAGCTGGGAAAATGGAGACCACAATGAAATAGTCCCTGCCCTCAAGGAGCTGACATTTTACTGAGTGGAAATAGACAGAAGAAGTAAATACGAAGGGTTTTTGTTGTCTTGGGGTGGGTTGGGAGTGTTGACAACTGGAAAGGTCTGTTGTAGGAGGAGAGATTTGACTGAATCTTGAATGGAGCTGAGGGTTTCAAGACGTGGAGGACATTTTACACGTGGTGGATGCTTGTCAAAGGAATGGAGGTGTGGATCAGTGGTTAGACCTCCAGACGTGGAGTCAAGAAGACCTCAGCTCCAATCCTGGCCCACAGTAGCTGTGTGACCCTGGCCAGGTCACTTCACTTCTGTCTGCCTCAGTTTAATTACCTGTAAAATGGGAGTCATAATAGCACCTGTCTCCCAGGTTTGTTGGGAAGGTCTAATGAGATCTTTGTAATGTGCTTTGCTAACCTTAAAGAGCAGTATAGATAAATTCTAGCTGTTGTTCGATGAATAACCAACAGGCCAGTTTGGCCAGAATTAGAATGGATGATGTGAGAGGTGATGGGAAGCTGGTCAGTAAAGAAAGACTTGGGTCAGATTGTGAGAGGTTTGAAGGGCATACAGGAAGGGGCAGTGAGGCGGTGCAGAGGATAGAGCGGGTGAGAAATGGGGAGTCCTCTTTTATGTTTAATGGCTAATTATTGTATTAGTACCAAGGTTTTTCCCCTTTTCTCCTTCCTCATCCAGAAACCAACCAGTGGGGAAATCCGACAGTGAAAGAAATTCCAGGTTTGGGGTAATGGGTATATTCCTGCTCATTGCCTTTGCCCAGACAGGTCTGGGGAAAGGTTGATTCTCCCTGTTATCGAGACAAGTGATGTGGAAATTGAAAAGCATACAGGAAAGCTTGTATTTATTAGGGAGCCAATTTATGAGGGAGCTGAAGTAGTAAAACTGTATGCATACTTGAACTCAGGGCTTCTAGCAGTCTATCCACTGTGTGCCCTAGCTCCCCCTACTTGCCTCAGTGACTGAGGATGAAAGCTTTTGGAAATTGTTGCCTGCAGAGAGAAGTAGCCCAGAATGTTTTCCTTTTTAAAATAAATTTGTATTGATAGCTTTTGTTTTTATATCATCCACATTTCTGTCAGTATCTTCCCCCTCCCAACTCCCTAAGAGTCATTTTCTATCACCAAGAAAAAGTAAGAAGAGGAAGAAATCAGCAAAAACGGATCAATACATTGAAAAAGTCCCCAAATATGTGAAGTATACACAGCCTTGAACCTACCACCTCTGCAAAGAAGTGAAGTGAGAAGGTCCAGAATATGTTTTGACTTGTGGCACCACCTATGGGATTACTTCCCTAATGCCTTCTCATATTGGTTGGCCAGGTTCCCAAGGGGTGGCAGAGAGTGCTGTTAGGGTTCTAGAGGTAATCCTGAGGGGATGGATTTCTAGTACTGTCACTCACGAGCCCCCATCGGTGTGATCCCAGTTGACAGCTCTTGGTTAGCTTTTAGGAGAGGCATTTACTAAATGAATATTACAAGAACATTTGGTACAAATATTTCTCCCAAATCCTGGGTCGTAGTCTCCCACAAGTACACACAATACATGGGAAGAGTGGACTCATGCTCAGAAGACAATGGTGATGAGGAAAACACACAATTGTGGTAACCTGATAACTCCTGTGGGAGAGGTTTCTATCCCTGAACCCAGGCACCCAGATGCCTGATAGGCTTAAGGCTGAAATTTCCTAACCTGCTTAAAGCTTCCAAGGCAGAGCATGCTTAGCTTGTTTTATAAGCTAATCAGAGTTTATTTCTAATCAAATCAAGAGGTTCCTAATTCATAAAGTAGGTTCATTTACCATGTGCCAAGCACCGGCTAAGCCCTGGGCATACAAAAGTAAGCAAAAGACAGTCCCTGCCCTCAAGGAGCTTGTAGTCTAAAGGGGGAGACAACATACACACACACACACAGAGCAATAAATAGGAACCGGATACATAGGAAATAATTACAAGAGGGAAAGCACTGGATTAAGGGTGGGATTTTAATTGAAGGAAGCCAGGGAGGAAGAAGAGCATTTCAGGCACGGAGAACAGCCAGAGAGAGGAGGCAGGACTGCACCAGGTTGGGGCAGCGTCAGAGGAGAGAAGGATATATACAAGATGTTGCAAAGATGAAATGGACAGACCTTGGCACCATGTTGAATGTGTGTGGTGGTGAAAGATAGTGAGTTGTCCAGGATGACTCCTAGGTTGGGAGCCTGAGGGACTGGGAGGGTGGTGTTGCCCTCTATAGTAATAGGAGGAGGAAGGGGGAGGGTTTAGGGGGAAAGATAATGAGTTCTGTTTTGGGCATATTGAGTTTAAGAAGACTGCTGAACACCCAGTTGAGATGTCTGAAAGGCAGAGATGTTAGATTGGGGGTCAGCCGAGAGCCTGGGGCAGCAAAGACATTTGAGAATCATCAGGATAAGGATTATAATTATATCCATGGGAACTGATGAGGTCATCAAGTAGTCTAGAGGGAGAAGAGAAGAGGGCCCAGGCCAGAGTCTTGGCTCTACCATAGGGATACAGATAGTGAGAGGACATGATCTAGAGAAGGATCCAGCAAAGGAGACAGAGAAGGAGGAAGGAGAATGGGGGTGGGGTGTGAGGGTGCCTGAAAACCTATAGAGAAGAGAATATCAAGGAGGAGAGAGTGATTAACAGTGTCAAAGGCTGCCGAGAGGACAAGGAGGATGAGGAAGAAAAGGTCATTGTGATGAGGTTGGGATCTGGACCCCAGAAAGGAAAAACCCTGAACTTTCCCATGTGGCCAAATCTCTGGCTTTCCCCTGAGGCTATAATCTCATCAACTGGCCTTTCATTGTGGCCACACCCAGTCTCCCAATTCTGTTACCCTTAATCTAGCCTAGCTCTCCATTATTTTGCCTCCCTATGGCCTCTGGCCATTTCCCACCCTTAATCCTAGCTAGGCTCCATTCTCCCTTGGCCAAATGGTCCAGGTCCCAGGAGTTCTGTTCACCCCAGTTTACTGGCCACTCCCATCCAGATCCTTTTTAGACCCCTCCTCCAGTCACCCCAAACTACTTGGCCACTCCTGGGTCTCTGCCACAGTTTTTCTGTATATAAGGTCCACCTTGTCTCCAATAAGGTGCTCAGATTCTTAAAATCTAGCCACTGCTTAGATTTTTATAATCTAGTTGCTGCTCATAGATGCTCAGATTCCTTAACAGTCTGGCTAATATGGCGGATCTTTAATAAGCCTTGTCTTTGGCTGAAAGAAAGCTTGGGTCAAATTCTTTCAGGCAGGATCTGCATGTTGTGATATTGGGGATCCCAGCACCCCTAAGCCTCTGGACCTCATCAACTGGATTTGGTGGTTAGGAGATCACTGGTAATTTGGGAGACAGCAGAGAGTAGGCCCTCTTATTTGCAAAACTTTATGTTCTTATGTGAAAATATCCAGAGGGAGAGACTAGCCAAGAAAGAAGAGTAGAAGGAAGCAATAAAGCCTAGTTTTATTCCCTTCCCTGCCCCGCCCCACTTTCCCCTACTTCTGCAAAAAAGATCTAGAGAAACAGCTAATTGGGTGCTCTGTTGCAACCCAGAGGTGGGTTGAAGATATAACTTAGATGAAGAAGGGTGTCTGTGTCTGGGGTGGGGTGGGGGGGTGGACCAAGCAAGGAGTAGTGTGAGGCCTGAGGCCATGTTGTGGCAGGAGGCAAGAACTGGGACAGGTAGTAAATATGCGTGCAACTCTGATCTTGTAGAGGCTTTTCAAATTTAGCCACCCACGTGGCCTGAAACCTTCCACTGAAACCACAGCACTGGAGCTCATGCGTAAGGCGAGCCTACAGTTCTGTTGCTGTGAACCTATAGAGCCTTCTAGCTGTAACCAGCAGCTGTCTATTGGTGCTCCAACTGATGAGGATGGGATCTAGACCCCAAAAAGGTGTTCCCCCTGAGGCTATAATCCCATCAACTGGCCTTTCTTTGTGGCTACACCCAATCTCCCAATTCTCTTTACCCTTAACCTAGCCTGGACCTCCCTATGTCCCCTGCCACTTCCTACCCTTAATCCTATCTAGGCTCTATTCTCCCTTGGCCATCCCTGGAGTTCTATTACCTCCTAGACTACTTGGCCACTCCTAGATCCCTCCCATAGTCTTTCTGTATATAAGGTCCATCTCATCTCCATTAAGATGCTCGAATTCTTATGATCTAGCCATGGCTCAGATTTTCACAATCTAGCCAATAGCCCACGGATGCTCAGATTCCTTAAGAGTCTAGCTAATATGGCTAATCTTCAATAAATGCTGTTGACTGAAAGAAGGCTTGGGTCCAATTCTTTCAGGCAGGACCCAAATTCAACCCAAGCCTTCTTTCAGCCAGGGTCCGAATGTTGTGATTTTGGCATTCCAGCACCCCTAATCTCCAGACCTCATCAATTCCAAAACATCTTCAAGCAAAGCCTCAAAGAAAAACACATCTTAGGTAAAAGTTCAACTAGAATTCCGAGGAAGAAATTAAGCCAGAGTTTGCTGTTTTTTTTTCCCAAAGGAAATGTATATAGAGAATAACATTGACTCTCAGTGTTTTTTGATGTGAACAAAAATCACCTTCATCTGCTAATTACAGTGATAGAATTAAGGAATTTAAATCTATGCCACCAAATGAAATCTGGGATCTTCTCTAAGACAGGAAGATAAAGAAACTTTGATCTGTTTTGGTCAATTTGAACAGCTCATTAAATGGTTAAAGATAAAGATCAAAGCACAGTACTTTGCACCTAGTAAGGCTCAAATGTTTCATTCAGTCCTGAAAACTGATTTGATCTTTGTCTATATTCTTTTATCTTTACAATGAAACCATGGTATTTTGTGCCTCTTTTTAAAAGTAAAGTTTAGTTCATTAAAATGAAATAAGTTTAGTTGAGTTTTCCTTCCTTTGGTTTGATGAATGTGACATTTTTAAATAAATATTCGACACATGTTCATCTTAAAAAATTTCTCTAGGTGCACATCCAAATGAAGTATCCATGAAGGACATGTCAATCTAACTCACTGATAACAAGAGAAATGAAAATCAAGACAACTTTGAGGTTTTGCCTCGCTTAATAAATTGGCAAAGACACAAGATTGGTCTGAGATGAGGATTTTTGGATCAATGGGCATATTACTGCATTTTTAGTGGATTTGTGAGCTTGTCCAACCATTCTGGAAATCAATTTGGAATTAAGCAAAGAAAATGGCTACAATGTTCATATGCTTTGACTCAGAGATCCCCCTTCTAAGCAAATAACCCAATGAGGTCAAGAATCAAAAGAAAAGGACTAAGTCTAATAAAATATTTATAGCAGCATTTTTTTTTTGGTGGTAAAGAACTGGAAATATAGTAGATGCTCATGGACTGGGGAACGGCAAAACAAGTTGTGAATCCAGAGAGACTGATGTGGGATGAACATAGAGCTCACTAACCAATATAGATTCTAAAAAGAAATGTATAGCAGCTGAAAATGAAAAGGGTGTGTGTGTGTGTGTGTGTGTGTGTGTGTGTGTGTGTGAATTGAATGAAGCAATGACACACAAACACATATAGACTTTCTCTCTCTCTCTCTCTCTCTCTCACACACACACACACACACACACACACACACACACACACACACACACACACCAGTTAAAGTAACTAACAGCTCTAGCCCTGACAGCTTTACCAGGGAGAATGTCTCTATTCAAGCAATAAGCAATCAAAGGTATTTAACAGATGTACACTGGTCATGTCCCTGTGAGTTTTCTCTAAAAGAGCAAGCCAGTTCAAAGCTGGTATAGAAAAGTATTTCACAGACTTTTTTTTTAAAGGCAATTGGGGTTAAGTGACTTGCCCAGGGTCACACAGCTAGTGTGAAGTGTTTGATCTGAGGCCAGATTTGAACTCAGGTCCTCCTGACTTCAGGGCCAGCTCTATCCACTGTGCCACCTAGCTGCCCCCTTTTTTTTTTCTGCAGAATTTTTTGAGGGGATGTTCTGTACCCGCTGTTCTTACTAAGTAAATATCTGAATAGCCAGACGAGTCTATGGCTCTATTCTCCCAGGCCCAGTCTCAGTTACTCAACACTGGCACACTTAAAGCTTAACCTCACCCAATTCTCATTAGTACCTGCTACCAAAATTCTCCTGGCAAGGTGGTTACCTTCAGAATTCCTGGTTCTGAGAGGTGCCAGTCTTCACGCCTTGCGCAGTAGTTAGATTTTCCTGGATAATCTTTAGAACACCCCCTTTGTGATTGGTCCGTGTTACTTGGCCCCATTGCTCTACCTTGGAATTAGGGTTACCGCTGAGTAGATCTTTTGTCTACAAATCCTCTATAAGGCTGAGCTCCCAATGGCTCTGGGGAGCCAATCAGCGCATCTGGATGCTGCCCCAGGGGACAGCAAAGTCTCATGAGAACCCATCCCTGACCACACCTCTGTCCACTGCCTCAGGTTCTGTGCCTGGCTGCAAGCATCAGCCGCCATTTGGATCTACCCACCCTAGCATGGTCACCCTCTGCCATTCACCCAAACTTCACTCCAAATCTGGACAGTGCTGTCCCTAACTGAACACTCATTAAGCCAGTCGGCCAACCGATATCAATTAATTATCAGGAGGAAAAACACAGCTGTGGCAGCTTGTGAGCTATAGTACTGGAAAACCCTCTGCCTTTCCATCAGGGTTCCTGAGAACCTGGAGGTAGCCATCCCTGAAGACCTGCCCCAGTGCTTAGTGGGAGTTGGGACAATAGCTCCAGAGAGGCAGCTAGGTGGCACAGTGGATGGAGCTCTGGCTCCAGAATCAAATCTCAGATACCAATTAGCTGTGTGACCCTGGGCAAGTCACTTAACCCCTATATGCCTCATTTTCCTCGTCTGTAAAATGGGACTAGTAGCAAAAGGAGCCCATTTAGGGGAAGATGGGATGATGGTAACTGACAAGAGGGAATACAGAACTGCTTGCTTCTCATTCTTCTGGTTTTTTTGTTTGTTTGTTTGTTTTGAGCTTGATAGGAAAATAAGCCTTTAATCTGAAGAGAAGGAAGCAGAGGAGAAGCAGTCACTCAGGAGCATCGTGGCCAGCTTGGTGCTGGTCCCAGAAGGGAGGGGAGGCGTTCTGATTCAACTTGATTAGACAGTGAGACATCATCAGAGCCTCTCGGGGAGAGCTGTGAGAAGGCTTGAGCCATCCTAGCAGGTCAAAGGTGAGCAGGGTTTTGGGCAGGCTTCCTTTGCCCCTTCCCAGCAAGGGGATGGCCCCACTCTTCCCAGATGGTGAGGCCGTCACAGGAGCAGATCTGCTTGGGGTTCTGGAAGAGGACCGCAGATCGAGTAATGATGCCACAGGCTAGACTCTCTCCAGAGTTTCTGGTGACTTTGGAGAGCGGGTGTCCTCCCTGCCCCAGGTCATCTTCATCTGCATCAATGACCAGGCTTTGGCCGATGATGTCCCACACCTTGAGCCGCTCGTCCTCTATTCTGAAGGTTGCTCTTCCATCACCATTGGCATAGATGTTCCACAGATCTCCCAGGTGCCGGTGGGTGTCCTTCGGTCCTCCATGGGGCATTCCTTCAGGGTTGAAGTGGTCTCCACAGCTGGCACAGTTTTGGGTCAAGTCTTCATACTGATGGACATGGAGGCCACGGGGCCCAGGCTCCAGGCCATCGATTGTCCCCTCAATGAGGCAGCACTGGAGGGACACTTGTAGGAGGCTCAGGACTCCCTGTACGGCCCCAGGCTGCCCCAAGATGGCCATGACCGCTCCCAAGTTCTGAAGCTTGTGGCTGCCCATGCCCTTGAGCACCGCCTTGCACCCCATGCTCTCCAGGACACTCTGCACCTCCTGACTGGGCAAGGTGGTGGTCACCAGGACACTCTGATTCTCCAGGTGCACCTCCACTCCCTGGAGACCTGCCATGCCATGCAAGGATGTCTGCACCTTCTCCATGCAGCTCTGGCAGCTCATTTGCACAGCAAACTCCAGCTGTGGGAGACAGCGCCATGCTGGTGGGGCAGAGCTATCTCATTCTTCTGTTTTCTTTGCCAAAGAGAATGATCATCACTCCAAAAATGATAGCCACCAAATGGCTGGCAGAGAGAGCTAAAGGGATCTTAAGACAGGGCTTAGCTTTCCTTGATGAATTCAAGACTCTGGCCCTGATCAACTCTATCCTGGAGCCCTGAAAGAAATGGCAACCATGAACTATTGAATCAGTGAATATTTGAAAGGTCATAGAAAACCGGAGGAGAGGCAAAAGATTGGAGAAGAATGAGTGTCCCAATTTTTTAAAAAGAGGAGAGAACAGAGTCTACAAATTCCATGTGGAATTAGTGTCCAATCTCACTTCTTTTGTGTGCACGTAGAGAACTTGAAAGTTCTGTGGGTAGACTGAGTATTGTTAATATGAAGAGACAATGGGGAAATGATTGTTGTCCTTCATACTTGAAGAGGTCCAAATGGTGTCACTATATCTGGGTCAAGGTACAGTATGTCCAACTGTGGCTGATCAGACCAGCACAAACTTGGAAGGCTCTACCACAGGTCAGACACAAATAGTCCATGTGAACATTTGGGGTGGATCCTCTAAATTTCTGCATCTCATGTTTCTTTTAAGCTACTGCAATTCTGCTTTACTCATAGAGCACAGCCCCTTCCCTGATGCTGGGCAGTCCTGTGCCAGTGTCTCCCATGTCTCACAATTGATTGCAAAGTTCTTCAGAGAGACCTTGAGAGTGTCCTTGTATCACTTCTGACCTCCATGTAAGTGCTTGCCTTGTGAGAGTTCTCTGCAAAATAGTCTTTTAGGCAAACATACATTTGGCATTAAAACAATGTGGCCAGCTCATCCGAGTTGCCCCGTAGAGCTTGAATGCTTGGAAGTTTAGTTCGATAAAGAACCTCAGTTTCTGGTATCTTATCCTGATCTTCAGAATCTTCCTAAGACAATTCAAATGGAAGTGATCCAGTTTCCTGGCATAGCTCTGATAGACTATTCAGGGTTCACAGGTATACAACAATGAGGCTGACATGATGGCTCTGAAGACCTTCAGTTTGGTAGGCAGCCTAATACCTCTTCTCTCCCACACTTTCCTTTGGATGTTCCAAAACACTGAACTAGCTCTGGCAATGCATGTGTCAGCCTCATTACATCCCTGGGAAGTTTACTGCCAGGGCGGGTAAACTTATTCACAACATTCAAAACTTTCCATTTGCTGTAACTGAGAGTTCCATGTATGGATGGTATAGTGATGGCTGATGGAGAATCTATATTTTCTTGATGTTTGTTGTAAGGCCAAAATTAGCATAAATGACAGACAACTGAGCCATACTCTGTTGCATTTAAGCCTCAGAGGCTGCATTGAATGCACAATCATCTGCAAACAAGAAGTCATGGACCAACTCTCCCTCCACTTTAGTCTTGGCTTGTAGCCTTTTCAAGTTAAATAATTTACTGCCAGAGCAGTAGCTGGTATTGATGCCATTTTCATCCTCATTGAATGTGTCCAACAACATCATGGAAAACATCATACTAAGAAGCACAGAAACAAGCACACAGCACTGCTTTACTCCATTGGTGACTGGGAAAGCAACAGAACATCATCTGCTTGTCCAGAAGCCGGGCAAGCATGCTGTCATGAAATTAATTTACAATACTGATGAATTTCTCTAAGCAACCAAATTTTGCCATGATCTTCCACAAGCGCTCACAATGGACAGTATCAAAGGTCTTGGTCAGATAGATGAACGTTGTGCACAGACCTCTGTTCTGCTCCTGGTACTTCTCCAAGAGTCCTTCAGCAGCAAACATCATATCGACCATTTCTTGGCCCTTTCTGAAGCCGCACTGGCTCTTGGGTGGATGGCCATCTTCCAGGTGAAAGATCAGTCTATTAACGAGGACTCTGGCAAGAATCTTGCCAACGTTGACTAATTGACTCCCCCTTCCTCTCCTCCCTGCCCCTCTCCCCCAGGTAATTGTCATCGGACAACCTATTTCCTTTTCCTTTATCAAGACGGACATTGGAGGCATCCTTGGATTTCTAGGGGATAACCTCCTCTTGCTGGAAGATTTCAGTTTGCTTTTGTACAAGCAATAGACTCTCCTCCCTACCTTGTAAATGTCAAATGGAATAGAATCAGCACCAGGTGCTTTGCCATAGGAACCTAATGGCATTCAAAATCTCTTCTTTAGTTGGAAGTCTGGCTAAAGAGGAATTGACTTCAACCTGAGGTAAATGATCAATAGCTTTGGCACTGATTAATGACAGTCTGTTGAGAATACTATGGAAGTGGTCAGGCTTTCTCTCTGGGATTCTGTCCTTAATGTGGTTCCATCAGCACTGAGTGGTTGAGACGCACCATAGGTCTCTGGCCCTAAATATCTTTCAGGGAATTATAAAAATGCTTTAGATTGTTGCAATCATTGTAAAACTGAATTTCATATGCCTTCTTACTGAGCCAAGAATCCTGTATCTCTCTAAACTTCACTTGGCATTTTACAAATCAGCCTGCTGGTAGATGCTGTGGAGTTCTTGTTTTTTCATTTAGTGGCTTCTGAATTTCCCCATCATTTTCATCAAATGAATCTTAATTTTTGCAAATGTCCTGGCCCAGATGAGTGAATGCAGTGCTGTACAACAGATCTCTGGAAGATGCCCACTCCTTTTCTGCTCCATTGTTGCCAACTGTGTTGGCTCAGCTTTCCGTCCAAGTTAGCAACAGACTGTTTATGTAGGGAGAAGCACTCTAATCTCTTGACGTTAAGTTTTCTGGTAGTCATATTGCTTTAGGGCCTCCACTTATGTTGAATGTGAACGTCTGCCTTGGAGAGGATAAATCAATGATCAGTCCCGCACTCTGTACCACACATCACCTCCTTCACTCTCACATCCTGTCTGTCTCTTCTCCTTACAAACACATCGTCTGTTAAATGCCAATATTTGCTGAAAGGGTGCAACTGCAAAGTTTTACTGTGTCTAGGTAAACAGAAGGTAATGTTGGTGATGAGAAAGTCATGAGATGCACAAGTCTTCAGTAGTAAGTGACCATTGCTGTTGCTGTTTCTGATTCCATTCCTCCCAAGGACTCCCTGCCATGTCTGGTGGTCTATGCCTATGCTGGCATTAAAGTCTTGCAGAATTATAAGCTTGTCCTCTTTTGGTACATTGACAGTGAGGGTCTCCAGGTCTTCATTAAATTTTTCATTTGACCTCATCAGGGGTCATCGTGGTGAAAGCATAGTCACTGATGATGGTGGAGTGATGTTTTCCTGCAAGTAGCAATCACATTGTCATGAGCCTGTCATTCACTTCTTTTGGGAGGCCTACGAGCTTGTTGACTAGATTCGTTTTGATTGCAAAACCTACACCAGCTTTCTGGTGCTCCCTTTCACTGCGGTCACTCCAGAAAAACATGTATCCAGCTCCAACTTCAGTAAACCGGCTTTTATTGCCAGCCTTGTTTCACTCAGGGCTGCTGTTTGAATGTGATACCTGCTGAGTTCTCTCACAACAAGAGCTGTTTGTCTTTCAGGTCTACTGCATTTTGTGTTGTCTATAAGTGTGTGCACATGCCATGTACCAATGGTGAGTGGAATCATCTTTGCAAAAGTTTTTGTACATTTTTTATTTGTTTCAACCACAATGTAGGCTGCCCACCTGCTATGGTAAGCAGGCCAGGGTTGGGTAAAGCAGACAATTTTTAGAGCACCTTTTCTTTCCTTCCTTCTTTCCTTCCTTCTTTCTTTTTCTTTCTTTCTTTCTTTCTTTCTTTCTTTCTTTCTTTCTTTCTTTCTTTCTTTCTTTCTTTCTTTCTTTCTTTCTTTCTTTCTTTCTTTCTGCTTTCTTAGTTTATCTATCTATCTATCTATCTATCTATCTATCTATCTATCTATTTATTTGTCAAGGCAATTGGGGTCAAGTGACTTGCCCAGGGTCACAAAGCCAAGTGTCTGAGGCCAGATTTGAACTCAGGTCCTCCTGACTCCAGGGCCACTGCTAAGTACACTGCACCACCTAGCTGCGCTTAGAGCATCTTTTACATCCTGTTTCTTATACTAGGAGGTAAGCAGTGCAGTCCTTTAAAAAGGTTGTTCAGACACCCAGGGGGCTGCCGAATGCCACTGCTGCTTCAGTCCAGTGAGAAACGACCCTGTGGCCTGGGCCGCCTGCGTGCAGGATTGTGACTACAGCTCCTGGTGGATCTGCACCTGCTGCTTTGTCAGTAGCTGCCACAGTACCCTGAGGAAGGTAAAAATGGTAAAATGGTACAGTGATGTCTTTTAATTCATGCATAAATTGGATTTAAGTGAGGCAGAGTTGCATGAAGTCATCGGCCTCACTCTCTCTTCCAGTCGTTGAAGTCCGGGGGCAAAACAAAAGTCAAGATGACTGGTGATGGCTCGGGATGCCTAACCAAACTCTAGGCACTCCACAGCTCCTGCTCCCATCGCCTTCATGATCCCTTGTAACAAATTGTTCACATCCGACTATTTGGCCAGGGGAGTCATCACATGCTTGGGGTAGACACCCCCTAACTCACTAATAAGTTTGAGGCCCATCGGTTGCCCTCAACTTGGTTTAGCCCATCTTCCCAAATGGTTTACCGGAGTGTGGCCACCGCACATGCTACAGCTTCATGGAGCCACAGGTGAGAGCTGAGTGGCAGGTGGACACCAAAGATAGATGAGCATCCCTGAAAAGGGCTCAGTAGCCCTCACACCAGAGGTACTAGCCTTCCCTGAATACCTGTACACCCCAATGGGGAAATAAGTTCCCATGCAAAGAAGACTGGGAAAAAATATTTGCAACAAGTGTGTCTGCTGAAGGTCTCATTTCCAAGATATATAAGGAACTGATTCAAATTTGTAAGACTAAGAGTATTCCCCAAGGTCAAAGGATATGAGCAATTTTAAAAGGAAGAAATCTAAGCTACAAATAATCATATTTTTCAAAAAAATAAAGGTTAACAAATTAAAGCAACTTTTAGGTTCTTACATCCATCAGACTGACAAAAGTAACAAAAGAAGAAAATGAGCAATTCTAGGGGGTACGCATACATGGTCACACCCATGCATCTGTTGGTGGAGCTGTGAATTGGTGCAACACAGTACCACTGTGGAGAACAATTTGGAGCTGTGCCCAGAGTTACCAAACTGTGCGTGCTCTCTCAGACCCAGACACACCACTACTAGGTCTATAAAAGAAATAAAATTTAAAAAAAGAAAGGAAAATAGTTTACTTGTACAAAAATATGTGTAGCAGCTCTTTTCATGGTATCCACAAATTGGAAACTAAAAGGATAGCTTCTCATTGGGGAATGGCTAGTCAAGTTACAGTATATGAATATAATGGAATATAGTTGTACCGTAAGAAGAACAATTGTAGAGGAAACTGGGAAGATCTCTATGAACTGATGCAGAGCAAAGTGAGCAGAACTACAATGATGCAATGATAACAATGTTAGCTAGCCAAACAACTCTGAAACACTTCAGAACTCTGATCAGCCCAGAAGATGGACTACACCACTTACCCCCTGCCAGAGAGGTTATGGACTCCAGATGCAGAGGCATAATGTTTTTGACATGGCTAATGTCAGAATTCTTTTTACCACACTATGTAGCTATGCATTGAGGAATTTGTTTGGGGGTGGGTTTTTTTTTTTAGTTGTTGGTGTGGAGGAGGACTGGGGGATGAGATTAATAAAAGAAAATGCTCATTACTTGAAAAAAGAACAAAATAAAACCAATGATAGCTAAGAAAGAAATGTGGCTGGAACAGTTGCTGTTATAAAGTAGGACAATGGTCCCCATTTAGTACTGCATGTGGTAGCGAGAGCCTGGGAACATGGCCGATGACTCCAAAGAGAATGTAAGCTACCCCGAGTAAATATAAACAGCAAAAGAAGCTCCAACTGAAGATATGAGAAGATTGAAATACTACTGCATTGTTGGTGGCATTGTGAACTGATCCAACCATTCTGGAGAGCAATTTGGAACTGTGCCTAAAGGTCTATAAAAATGTGCATACCCTTTGACCCAGTAATAGCATTTCTAGGGCTGTATCCCAAAGAGAGCATAATAACGGGAAAAGGACCCATATGTACAAAAATATTTATAGCAGCTCTTTTTGTGGTGGTAAAGAATAGGAAATTGAGGGGATGCCCATCAATGGAGGAATGGCTGAACAAGTTGTGGTATATGAATAATGGAATACTATTGTGCTATAAGAAATGATGAGCAAGCAGACTTCAGCAAAACCTGGAAAGACTTGTACGGACTGATGCTGAGTGAAGTGAGCAGAACCAGGAGAACATTGTACACAGTAATAGGAACATTATGCAATGACTGACTTTGATAGACTTCTCTCTTCTCAGCAATACAATGATCTAAGACAATTTCAAAAGGCTGATGACGGAAAATGCTATCCACATCCAGAGAAAGAACTGTGGAGTCTGAATGCAGACTCTCGTGTGTGTGTGTGTGTGTGTGTGTGTGTGTGTGTGTGTGTATCTGCGTGTGTGTTTCCTTTCTCATGGTTTTTCCTTCGGTTCTGATTCTTCTTTTACAACATGACTAACGTGGAGATGTTTTATATGATTGTACGTGTATAGCCTATATAAGATTGCATGCCGTGTTGGGGAAGGATGTGGAGGGGGAGGGGGGAAAATGTAGAACTCAAATCTTATAACAATGAATGTTAAAAACTAAAAACAAATAAATAAAAGAAGCTCCAACTTTCCCAAGGGAAAGCTTACACATGACCCTGGGCCATGCCTGGCATCTGCATCCTTGTTCTGTTTCTATATGATACC